ACAAAAGTCCTTTTGTGACAATCACAGAGGAGTCAATTTGACTATTTAAAATACTAGATTCAGTAAGAATCGGATGCTTAGTCAGGGATCATAAAGAGCAAACCCGAGAAAACCAGGCTGGTTTCAAACCTGGAAGCGGATGTATCAACCAAATATTCGCCCTTCGCAGATTCTAGAAAATAGACGCACTTTTCGACCACAATTACATTCCTCACTGGAGAATATTTGTAGGTTTCTAGTTTTATATCATAGATGTTCTTACTTGTGTGCGTTGTTATCACTGAGTGAGAAATGTTGAAGCCATAGTTGACCAGGTAGTAGTAGTAGTAGTAGTAGTGGATTCTAATTGATTGAAATAGTTGGGATATGTATTATGTACGCTCAGTAGCTGTTTACCTCAATGCACAATGGGGGTTGACGTGGTGTTAAGTTAGAAGAAAATTAGGGGCGGCCAAACCAAAACATAGTATCAGTTTATTAAAATGCTGACTGTTGAACTGATTCATTTAGGTGCGTGCAGATTACCGATCTGGAGTCCACGCGATTATCGCAGCTAGTGTCTGGAAACATAAAATGACGTTTATCCTTCATCTATTTAAACATGTGAACATTGGTTCAAAGGGGCACCATGATATATATATGGGCCACACAAATCGCTTGAACCAATGTATATGTGAGTTATTGATCTCGTTTACATTGTTAATAGTAGTGTAATAGATCTGGAATGCTTTACACATACGTTTGATAGTATAGTGGTTTATTTACGATTTAAAAAGATTTATCTTACTCATTTATTGTATGTAGTACACATGTGTTGAAGAAATTAAAGTAAGCCTTATTTATCATATACCTTGGATTTGAACTCTGTGAAATGGTTTCTTGCTTGTTTATCGTATCGGGTCTTTGGGAAACAACGGAATGTACCGTAGGTTATAAGAATGACCTCTATAAAACAAAAGTACTTTTAATGCAAGGTAGCTACTGTATTGTATATGTTGTCTGTTTCTTATTGTTGTTCGTTTTTACTGTGCCTTTGTTGATGTTATTGTTGTTGTTATTTTTCTTCAATATATTTTTCTCTTTGTCACACTGCAATTTATGTGGATCACTAAATATCAATCAACTAATTACTGGTTTAGTGCAAAATAATCTGTATTATATTGGTTGTTGTTATCTCCATATTGATCCTGATCTCATTAGCTTCCGCAATCGGTTTAACACGATGATCAACAGTTTATTTAGTATATAAGGATGAAGTTTGAAAACAACGAATTTCAGTTTGCCAAATACTCTCAATTCAAATCAGTCGAGGATTAATTACAATAATAATATACAATGATGAGTGCGTATACAAACACATCTCATTTACTCCTATCTTGTTTATTGTGTACAGAAAAGATTGGAAAATGATGCGCCAAACCAATCGTTCTTTTAATTTTTACTCATTTAAGATACTTGCTTTTTTGTACAAAACCAATTACGATAATCGCATTGATTATCACAATAAATACTTTTATCATAATCATTTTTATTGTAGCTATCTTTTATGTTCCTAATTACTTCATTTTTCAAGCGTATCAATAAAAAATATATATATTCCCGCCAAATCCTTATTGATTCCTCGTTTTGCACGAGGTAATTTCTTTTATCTTATTTTCTATAGTGTATCAGTAGAAAGTTGTTTCTCAGACAGTATATGACTAAAGTATTTTCTATTAATCAGTTGATAGATTCTGTTTACCTTTTAACAGCGGTGTTTATCAAACTTTTTATCAGTCAAATAGTAACTTGAAATAAGTTATATAAGGAATTTTCAAGTTGGTTACCTAAGATTGTTGAGTCCCATGCAAGCTGATAAATTTCAGCCAGTATTCATTCTTTTTGGGTTTTGATGAAGTTTGTGCTTCCAGGTCTCTTAGCACTTCTGTGATGGTAAAACGCGGCGAAAATCGATGTCGAAAAAATACTCACCCTACTATATGATCTGACAGGATATCGAAACCGGAGAATATGGTTATAAACTAGTTTTGCAAAGTACACCTATGGCGCAGTCATGATTGGAAAAGACGTTAAAACTAAGTTCTTTAGTGTTTGATTGACAATATAAAAGTTTTTCGATTCGTCTCTTTACCTTTAATTTGTTTTTGGTTTGTAACAGTAACCATTTTAATCTTTGAGGTTGATTTAGATGTCTACGTTATCGACCTTGGAACCCTTAGAAACTGATGGGTTTGTGACTAGCGAAATATCGGCACTGATACTAAAAAGCTGACTTAAATTCAGTTGATTTGTAGGAGAATCACTAAGTCCTTCATTGTTAACCCAAAATATTTAGTAATTAGTCGACTTTACATGCGATTGAGTTTTGAACTTGAGTTAAATATTTTATTACCTGGAATGGTCTAACGAACTGTTGATCTCTTGGGAACCCAACACACACAAGCATGCCTTTTAATATCCTAGCCGGTGAAACAGACATACAAGATAGCGTGACTAGGGTGATAGAAATAACAATTTGTTACTAAATCCGAAGTATTACAGCATTTATTGAAAGTAGGTTATTCGTCATACGTCTAGAAAAGTACGCTTTTGATTATTCGTAAAGCAAAGGGATAGAGTGTAGTATGCACCTTTTTAATAGTCGCGCCCTTTTGGACGAACACCATATACATATTGAGCAGATAATTTATCATTCAATATTTCTAGTCAAAACTTTAAACGGAATTAATCTATGGTAAAATATTCTGTATCTCATCTGATGATTCTAAATATTTGGTAAGTAAGTCAATGCTCGTACGCTAAAATTTCATCATGCAATGATAGATTTTCTCAGTATTTCTGACTATTGATTGCACTTATTGTCAAGCATGTAAAATGTTTCTAACATTGTTTATGCCCAGATTCGAAAATTTCACTCGAGTTCTTATCTGCGTATATAGAATGAGTGTCATGTAGCTTGAGGCCAAATTCTCAAACTAAAGCGCTAACACCCAGTATACTACTGTCATTTACTTGAGTTGTTTATAGATAAAACTTGGATTCTCTGCCGTTAGATTTTTTCGTTTCAATAACAAAGTGTAAAGATTCTAAAATTTTCTAGTTCTGTGATTACAAAATGGGTTAGAATTACTTACATAAAAGAGCTTAGTTGCAAGTTCTTTAACATCATTGTGTTTTTTATTTCAACAATCTTACGGATTAGTAATCTTATTAACTGGGCAACAAACCCAAGGTCCGAAGGCGAAGTCGTACTGCTGACTGTACAGAGGTGTGACGGCAGTAAAGTGTTTCCTTCAGACAACCAGCATGACAGCGATACTGCCTCCCCACAGGGAGGGGTGGTGTTAGAAAAGGTCGACCCTAAAAATGCACACCTCGCCTTATCCCACGGATAGCCGTCTCCTGCGGTAAGGTCTCAACAAGTACGGAGCTAACACAAAAACTACCCTTAAAATGGTCGTGTGTGACCGACCTCAAGCAGTTGTCCCTTGGGCACTGCGGTCACGCTCCCAGGTCACTAAGACCACCTCTAATCCAATTTCCTTTTCAGGTACCTCCAGGAGAACACTTCCACGGTGTGGGCAACCGGGAAGTGATAACCGTCCTCATACCTCTAACAGCACTCAAGACCACTGTATTCTTTTTATTCCTATTAGCGCTTACTCACCATGTAATCATTTGTTTCTGGCTGTTTTACCTCTTGTTACAATCAATGTTGTAGAATGTTCTTTTACGTAAGGCATATATTCATGATATTCAGTCTATTAAATTTACTATGCTGATGTGTCTTCAAAATAACGTACAATTAAACTTTCATGCATGTCATTTTAACCCCTTTTGTAATTATGTTTTTAAATATCACATTTTGTAAGCATCTGACGAGAACCAAACGAAATAAAGTGAATTCATGATGTCCTGCTAGAATCTTTGTTCTTTCTCTCTTCGAATTTTATTTCAATCTATTCCTTAAACACAAGAATATGCAGATAGGCCTTAATTAGCTTGGTTACTTGGGCTTTTAGCTTTTAAAGTCTTGGCATCATAGGTAGGTTATTCCCTTTTCATATTCGTTTTTTGTCACTATGATATCTCATACCTTTGTGGGAAGGTTTAGATACTTTTGTCAAAATGTTTCTTGAGACGCGATGGTAATTCATCTATATTGATCATTCTAAGCAAAACAGTTTTAGTAATGTTCGTAATGTGAATTATCCCATGATGCATACAATAAGTATCCGTAAAATCAACGATCTAGATTCTGTTTATATAATTAACCTTGCTTTCCCATACAATTAGAATATTTCATGTAATATCTGTTATATCCTAGTGACGGTTAAATTATAGATAAATTCCGAGAACTATTAATGAACTAATATTATATATATTCTTATTGTATAACTGTTCAGTAACTAGATTATGTAATATTTATATTCCTCTTATTATAAGCTCCATTTTGAACTAGAGATTATTATTACTATACGATTTACTATTCTTAAGCTATGTTCAATTTATTAATTAAAGTCTCCCACATTCACAGCTACTTTTTGACTTGATCTTGTATGAATGTTTTTTCATGTTTGATGGTATGATGCGGTCTTTTTCGCTGGTATATAAACCAAGTATGTTTGAAATGAATGATCGATATAGTGGAAGTTGTTATTGGTGTTCTGGACTCAAATGGACGGGCTAGGCGAACAAAGAACCAATAAAGACACTAGGATGCTCATACGGGCCGAACGTCATTGGTTTAACACAGTACTAATTTTGAATAAGTTGTATTTCGATTGGCGAATAAATTACGTGATAACTATCCAGCTTTGAAGTCACAACAATGTCTTTAGTAGGTCAAAAGTCAACGCATTTATATCATAAAAGTTGTATATTTTACATCTGAACTGGTAACTCATTTTATTGTTAATTACTGATTGATTGTTAGATCTTTATTTTTTTCTTTTTGAACGATTTATTTTCATTGTTGTCACTTCAGTCCCAAGACCTTTCTATCCGTAATGCATAGGAAGATTTTCTTCCCAGACAATCATGCACAATGTCAGCCATTCGTACAAATTGATCATTGATTTACATGAGTACTGTTTTAATTGTTCACTTGAAATTTCTATATGAAACGTTTAATTTTTAGTTTAGAATAAAACAAAACTTGTAAAAGCTTTCAGCGTTTTTATTCTATATGAAAACAATCTACTGTATTTCTCTAGCTGATTAAATTAAATGCAAATTACTTAGACATTCCTAAGAAAATTAATGTACTTGTAAAATATTTGTATGTTCTGTCAATGTGAAGTTATTATTTATAATTTGCAGAAATAGCTTTCTTGGAAAGTTGCGGAATACTAGATACATACTTATTTACTTCGATGGGAATTTATATCTGTATGATTCTTTTATATAATGATATTTTAACGGTGATGACTTGAAAAAAAGAATACTAAACTCATTTTTCTACTGGGATTAAGATATTTCACAGATTAATGTCCTCTTACTAAAATACAAACCAAGTGGTAATATATTAGAGTGGTAACAACAATTCATACAATGAATCAGAACTATACAAATAGTGTTAAATTAAGTGTCGCTACACATTATGACTTATTTTGTGTGATTATTTGTGTAATTGGGTCGGTATTATTGTAAATTGTATAATATGGTTAAATATGTTTCACAGATTTTTACCCAGAGCAAGATCAACAAGGTTTGCAGAATAAAGTGAATCCATCATATTTCACGATTTCTTATCAGCTACATGCAACCCAAAATTACAATTCTTAACATATGATTATCAGTATGAGGATTTATGAAGATCGCCATATTTTCAAGTTGAATTCACGAGTCGATCTAAGCTAGACCACCATTGATGACCTGAGAACACTGGATGGCCGTTTTTAGTATGGGACTCCTCAGTAGTGCACATCTACGATCCTACACGTCAAACTTGAATCCAGGACCTTCGGTCTTGAGCGTGAACGCTTAACCTCTAGAACAATGAGCTGGCATCCAACGGTGTTGATGTCTAATTTCAATCGATCCATGATCATACACAACCCTTCATTCATTGTCTGAGATGGACAACTGTCTCACATTCGACACGGATTGGACTTCACTGCACTGGTTACCAAGTCCCAAACCTGGACAAAACGGTCGTCCAGTGCTACCAGGGGAATTCAATCCGTGTCGACAGTTATCCACATTATTTATTTAATATTATTTAAACACAAACATAGGCACAAGAAGGCAACAGATAGATATGCGCCACATAAATCATTCGATTTGTGTGAGGGCTAGGATACTGCTCGAGTGCCCAAACGGTCAAGGTTAAGCGTTCACGCTCAAGACCGAAGGTCCTGGATTCAAGTTTGACGTGTAGGATCGTAGATGTGCACTACTGAGGAGTCCCATACTAAAAACGGCCATCCAGTGTTCTCAGGTCATCAATGGTGGTCTAGCTTAGATGGACTCGTGAATTTAATATAGATATTATTATTAGTAGATGCCTAGCTTACTTTAGTTTGCGACGTTTAGATAAGTGTTCGAAACGTAACCAAAATTATAATAATAGTGAGAAGAGTGAGGGTAATGTGCGTATGAATTAACATAGTTAAGATCGGTGTGTATTTATATGCTGAAAGTTAATAATTGAAAGGTTATGTAAAGATAGTGAAATTAATAAGTGATAGGATAGTCACATCATAATCATATAATAAATCGACTCAGTGGTTGGCCAAATTACTAGAACCAGTTCGTAGAAAACTGTTGACTAGTGGTTTTAACGATACATTTCAGTTTTTCAAAGAAATAGATCAGTTCAATATCTGATAAACTCATGATATCTTTTAATGTGCGTTCATTATTCACAATTATATCGTTAGAAAGCTACTAATATGATTTGCAAACAATCTAGATTTTTTTTTGCTTCAAAATCAGTTTAGTAAATTATTACTACTTTGCACAAAAAGGGTTCATTTTCCAATCCAACAATCAACTACACAAATAAACCGATGGAGTGTCCATGGGATAACCACTAGGACATGGTCGATATTTTCACGACCGACCTAGAAATAAAGAAATCCAGAACACAAAATACTACTCAAGATATGTTTATTATCTGTGATGATATGGACCACGCTTCTCGGTTACTTAGTCACTTCAATAATTCTCATCTCAACATAACGTTTACAATGGAATATGAAAGAGATAACCAATTCAATTTTTTAGATGATGGAAGTCTTGAAAAGAGTATATATTGAAAAGAAACATGGACAGGAGTGTTGAACTTGAACAGCTTCAGTCCTATCAGTTACAAAGGGTATCTAATCAAAACTCTTCAATAGAGATCGGATGTTATGCTCAAACAGGCAAATAAATGAGGAGTTGGCTATTCTAGAAAGGCATCTCATAAAAAATGGATACCTGATGAAATACGAAAAAGAATAACCCAAGGATGATAAACAGCAAGCTGAAAGAAGAAAACCTATCTTCATGCGCATTCCGTTCAATGGTGATGAGGTTTCAGGAAGAATCGATGGAAGAGTCAAGGCGGCACTAAAAATTAACTTCTCTGTTGCTCAACAGTTTTCACTATACAACACCAAGTGTTCATTAAATCTTTCAAAGATAGATTAAAACCCTACCGATGTCATCTCCAAAAGCATTTATGGATTTACATGTACCTGCGTTGGCAACTACTTAGGAAGGACAGAAGAAATGGTCTCTACAAGGTTTTATGAACAAATTCCTAGGAACCTACGACTGAAAGCTGGTAAAGTCTTTACAAGTGCGAATGCCGGACTCCTTTTGGATAGTAGACATGAGGTAAATGTAAGTAATGTATTTGAAATAATTAACAGACAAGAAACACCAACCTTACATCTTTCGGCGGAGGCCATCAAACGTTGTTACTGACTGACCTGACCTATGTATACTGAAGGAAATGTGATTAGCCTTTCCCAATTATGGTGATTTGTGTTTCGTCTAATAAGTTTTATTAATCTTAATTTTAAATCCGTTTTTCAACACTATCCCCAACCTTTTATCTTTGTTTCATTTCGGCTTCTGATATTCATCTCCTAAATAATCTTATTGACCACATATTTGTTTATTTTATCATGTTAAGCGGCTACCCAATCACCTATTAATTCCATTACGTTTACATAACCTCTGAATTATTACTTTCCGGCATATAAATACACATCTACCTTAACTATATCTATTGAAATAACATTCAGTTTCCTCCCTTACACTAATGGAACACTAATTTGCCATAGACGAATATTTACACTGGTTACCCTCTCAGTGTCTATTCTACTGGAAGTTGATACAACTCGGATCAAAGTGAATGGCTTGACTAGAACGTGAGTATATTTCCACGTCAACAACCGACAACAATAACAATAGTTATAAGAGTAGGGAAATATATAACACATCTAATACCTGTCAGACTACCTACTAGTCTGACTAGTTAAAAAACTAATCATTATTTTTCTCGCCCATACATCATTCGTTCATAAATTTTGTATCCCTAATCTTTTCACTCATTATGATTTTGGTTACGTTTCGAACATTTATCTAAACTTCACAAATTTAAAGTATGCTAAACATCTATTAATAATCATACATGTATTAAGAATTGTAATTTTAAGTCGCATGCAGCTGATGAGAAATGGTGAAATATAATGGATTCATTCTATTCTTCAAACCTTGTTCTTGTTTTGTTTAAATTCATCATGGGATCTGGTTGTACAAGATTTTTAAACGTTCATAAATTCTAAGCAAAGATGGATGGTGGCTAGCAGTGGAGTCCAGGACGCGCGCTACACCTACCTGGGACTCTCCAGATAAATGTACCTACATCCTATAGTTGATGTTCACTCCGAGACTTGAACGTAATACCGTTCGCTTCAAACTCCATCGCGCTGTCCATTTAGCTATTGAGTTCTGATAGTCGCTATCTTGTGTAATGGGTTGAAGTGTAAATTCATTTTGTATTGTTTGTTCGAACTTTCCCACGGATGTTCAGGACTCCAATTGATCAGTCTCTTGTTGGGATATGTGCATCCTATGTGGATTGCCTCGATATTGCCTTAAGTCACAAGCATTATAAGCAAAGATGAATGGCGGCTAGCAGCGGAATCCACGACTGATCAATTGCATTTCTGAAAATCAATGGGATGATTCAAACAAACAAGATAAAATGAATCGTTTATAAATTTTCTTAAACTTTTTTATTCCAGTAGTAAAATAGGTTATTCAAATTGATTCATGTTTGAGTTCTTGTCATAGAAATATAGATAAAGACTAAAACAACACAAGGTCAAGCTCTTCATTTATTGATAACTTACTTTCATAGATTTCATTTAACCGCGATTTTTGTGAAGTAATTAGCTGTTGTTCACCAACGAATGGATCATAATCTACAATCGATTCATGAATACCAGCCATCATTGAATCTGAAAGTTTGAAAATATTTTCCTGATTCAAGGATTCATCTCCTTGAGAGCGATTCAATAACAAGATGACGGTCCAGAGCAGATAAATTTCAGAATTACAAAGTTGTATTTCATATCTTTTTATATTTCTGAAGAGCTTTTTGGAATTAACAGAAACAGCTTAAATAAATTAGATAATATTTTTAGTTCATTTGAATTATAAATAACTCGACAAATTGAAATCATACTTAGCAAAACCCTAAAGATAAATTTCAATTTAAGTATTAAGAATTCGAAAGACACCTTTTGGTTCAGAATGACTGTGTGGATAAACTTGGCATTTTTAAGTCGTCCGAGCATATCATAGTCAGTAGTCGCTGTTATGTTTTCGTTTATTTAGTCACTCAATTGTAAATATTTTGCAATAATTAATATGACAAAATTAATTGGAGGTATGTCTTTTTCTATGTTGTAATTTTTCTTCCACTATAACTGACTACCCCACACTTGACACGTCCGTGGCATGGTGGAAAAATATTTTCGTCGTAGAATACTTTACATTTTACATGCAAGCCAGGAAAAGCGACAGTGAAGGAAACACGCTCTCCATCATGAATTTTAAATGGGTAAATACTAATTATGATCAGAATGGGGTTTGTGGAGATTGTAGTAATTTTAATACTTGAATTCATGAGTCGATCTAATCTAGATCACAATTGAGAACCTGGTAACACTAGATGGCCGTTTCCTTCTAGTACGGGACTCCTCAGTAGTGCGTATCCACGATCCCGCACGCGGGACTTGAATCCAGGACTTTCTGTCTTGCGAGCTAACGCTTTACCTCGACTCATGAATCCAACTGTTGAAATTACTACAATCTCCACAAAATCCATTCTGATCATAATCATTATGTGCCCACTAGTGGCTGGCTTCAAGATGAAGTTCCTAGAGTTCTAGTGATAAGCCTTGAACATTGGAGTCCAATCCGTGTCGGGTAGAAACAGTTATCCACCTCAGACAATAGATGAATGGTTGCGCAACCATTCATGGATCGATTGAATTTAGACATCAACACTGTTGGATGCCGGCTCACAAGGTCTAGATGTAAAGCGTTCGCGCGCGAGACCGAAGGTTCTTCACGCCCCCTAGTAACCGTGGTGCTTTTGCGCACAACCTAAATGGCCAACCGCTTTCGAGGCACCTTACCTCCTGTCGACTTGCGGGCAGTCTGCTCGGTTCTTTCCATTACGAAACACTGAGAGGCGGTAGATTGTGGATACCTACTGCTGAGTAGTCCCATACTAAGACAGAACGGCCGTCCAGTGTTTCCAGGTTTTCAATGGTGGTCTAGCTTGTTTCGACTCATGAATCCAACATACTTACTTACTTACGCCTGTTACTACCAATGGAGCATAGGCCGCCGACCAGCATTCTCCAACCCACTCTGTCCTGAGCCTCTTTTCTAGTTCCATCCAATTCTTGTTCATTTTTCTCATGTCTATTTCCATTTCCCGGCGTAATGTGTTCTTTGGTCTTCCTCTTTTCCTTTGGCCTTGAGGTTTCCATGTGAGGGCTTGTCTTGTGACGCAGTTGGGTGCTTTCCTCAATATGTGTCCTATCCACTCCCAGCGCTTCTTCCTGATTTCTTCCTCCGCTGGGATCTGGTTTATTCTCTTCCACAGTACGTTGTTGCTAATAGTGTCCGGCCAACAGATCCGAAGTATTTTGCGTAGACAACTGCTAATAAACACCTGTATTTTCTGGATGATGGCTTTCGTAGTTCTCCAGGTTTCTGCCCCATACAGTAGAACTGTCTTGACATTTGTATTGAAAATCCTGACCTTGGTGTTGGTTGACAGTTGCTTTGAGTTCCAGATGTTCCTCAGTTGTAAATATGCTGCTCTTGCTTTGCCGATCCTCGCCTTCACATCTGCATCAGATCCACCCTGTTCATCAATGATGCTGCCCAAATACGTAAAGGTTTTTACATCTTCCAAATCTTCTCCGTCAATTGTGATTGGTCGGTGCATTCTGTGTTGTATCGGAGAATCTAGCTTTTTCCTTTGTGTATATTGAGATCTATTGCCGGTGAGGCTGCTGCTACACTGGTCATCTTCTGCATTTGTTGTTGTGTTTGTGATAGGAGGGTCAGATCATCTGCGAGGTCTAGATCGTTCAACTGCATCTTAGATGTCCATTGTATCCCGTGCTTCCCTTCAGACATTGACGTCTTCATGATCCAGTCGATCACCATGAGAAAGAGAAAGTGTGAGAGTAAGCAACCTTGCCTAACACCGGTCTTCACTTCGAACGACTTTGTCAACTGTCCTCCATGCACGATTTTGCAGTGTAATCCATCATATGAACTCTGTATGATATTGACTATCTTCTGAGGCACGCCGTAGTGTCGAAGAAGTTTCCATAGTGTTGTTCTGTCCACGCTATCAAATGCCTTTTCGTAGTCAATGAAGTTGATGTAGAGTGATGAATTCCATCCAATTGATTGTTCCACAATGATCCGTAGAGTTGCGATTTGGTCTGTACACGATCTATCCTTACGGAATCCTGCCTGTTGGTCACGAAGTTGGGCGTCTACGCAGTCCTTCATCCTGTTTAACAATATCCTGTTGAAGACTTTTCCCGGTATTGAGAGAAGAGTCATGCCCCTGTAGTTATCACACTTGGTGAGATCGTCTTTCTTTGGTATTTTGACGAGGTGTCCTTCTTTCCTGTCTTTTGGTACTTGTTTCTCATCCCAAATCTTATTGAAGAGAATGTGGAGTATCCTTGCAGTTGCCGGTCCTGCTGCTTTGCCACTCTTGATTTGTCTGATGGCCATGCTGATTTCTTCAATTGTTGGTGGGCCAACATTGATTGGGAGGTCCGTGGGTGCTGCTTCGATGTTGGGTGGGTTCAGTGGAGCTGGTCGATTCAAGAGTTCTTTGAAGTGTTCTACCCACCTGTTTTGTTGCTCTTCAATGTTGGTGATTACCTCGCCTTCCTTGCTTTTCACTGGTCGTTCTGGTTTGCGGCGATTTCCAGAGAGTTTCTTTGTCGTGTCATACAGTTGTCTCATGTTTCCTTCTCTTGCAGCCTTTTCCGCCGTCGTTGCTAAATCTTCCACATATTTACGTTTGTCGGTTCTGATGCTCCTCTTCACTTGTTTGTTTACTTCTGTGTATTCAGCTTGTGCCTTGGCTTTTTCTGCTCTTGTTCGACTGGTATTGATTGCTGCCTTCTTGTTCCTTCTTTCTTGAATCTTATCCAGTGTATCAACAGTGATCCATTCCTTGTGATGGTGCTTCTTGTGACCCAGGACCTCATGACATGTTGAAGTGATTGCCTCTTTGATCCCCTTCCAGTTGCTCTCCACAGTAGTTCCTTCTCCATTGAGTAGATCATGAAAGGCCTGGAACTTGTTGCTGAGGACTATCTTGAATTTGTTGAGTTTGTTAGTATCCTGAAGAAAGGCCGTATTGAACTTTTGTGATATTGTCCGCCCCGTTGTCCAGTGCTTCTTGAGTTTCAATTTCATCTTGGCGACCAGCAAGTGATGATCTGATGCTATATCAGCTCCTCTCTTGGTTCTCACGTCCTCTATAGTCCTCCTGAACGTTTTGTTGATGCAAATATGGTCGATTTGGTTTTGTGTAGTGTGATCCGGTGAAGTCCATGTGGTTTTGTGTATGCGTTTATGTGGGAATATGGTGCCGCCTATGACCAGTTTATTGAAGGCACATAGATTTGCAAATCTCTCACCATTTTCGTTCTTTCTCCCAGTCCGTGTCGTCCCATGATGTCTTCATATCCAGTGTTGTCCGTTCCAACCTTGGCGTTGAAATCTCCCATCAGAATGGTCAGGTCCTTTGTTGGGCACTTCTCGACGATTGACTGCAGCCTATTGTAGAATTGATCTTTAGCGTCTTCATTGTAGTCGTTGGTAGGCGCATAGCATTGGATGATGTTCATTGAAATGCCCTCTTTCTTTGTTTTGAAGGAGGCTTTGATGATCCTTGGTCCATGAGATTCCCATCCTATAAGTGCATTTTGCGCTTGTTTGGACAGCATCAATGCAACTCCTTGTGTATGTGGTGCATTTTCTTCTTCATGGCCGGAGTATAACAGGAGCTCTCCTGTAGTTAGTCGTTGTTGTCCAACTTGTGTCCAATGTGTTTCACTGATCCCAAGTACCTCTAGGTTGTATCTTCTCATTTCTGCAGCAATTTGGAAGGCTCTCCCGGTGTCCCACATTGTACGAACATTCCATGTACCTAAATAAATGGTCGCTCTGGTTGTCAGAAGGGGCATCGGCCTCGTAACTTCCGAAGGAATTCGGCTTTCATCATGAGGCGTCATAATTCTTCTAAATGAAGACCTTCTGACTCCCAGGGCAGAGTTTAAAAGGTTTGAATAATTTTTTCTGGTTAGCGTTTTTTTAGCGAGTTAGTTTTCTACGGGATGGGGACGCTAACCCCATGCCCAACTCTCCTCCTTTATCCGGGCTTGGGACCGGCGGTAGCCCCCGGAGGGACTTCAGGCGGAGTTATGAATCCAACTATTAAGTAATAATTCCCCATTTCATTTTGGTTGGTCTCCTGGTGTAAGATTAATTGAGAACGGGAGTGGAGTTTATCTTCAACCCTGAATTAAGCTCATAGTCGTTTTGCCTTCCTTAAATTGAATAGTATATAGTGATGAAGCTTCAACTGCTATAAAAATAAAATCATTATCGGCACAGATTTAGTAAAGAATCGAGAGATAAACGTACACTTTCAAACCCAAAAATCAATGGACTGAATGGACTTAGTGATTTAAGTTATGAAACTTTCACTTGTTTAAAATTTGAGTAAGTTTGAAAACTTTTTTGTTAGTGACAGAAACTTAGTTACAAAGTGACCCTATCGGTTCGAAGGTTTTTTGTGCTTCATTATTTGCTCATTATTTTAATTGATAAGTCACGTTATATTATAGAATTTCAGTTTCTGCTTTCATGCTGTTGAGTGCTCTATGTAAAAATAAATATCTCAAGTAGTATGAAATTATTTTGAACAGAGGAGTATTATTCTTTAAATTTAAACAAATCAGTATAGTTTGAAGCTAATTATGTGAATTTTCAGTTGATAAACAAGATAAATAAAATCAATCGTATTGATATCAACTTTAACAGTGTAATATATTCTTGTTATTTCTTAAGTTAATCCATTAGACCTGCAATTTCTGCTTCCATATAGTGAGTAACATCGTCTTTATTGGAAATTTAGTAACTTATAGAATATTTTGCCTAATTATCATATAAATGGGGAACAAATAGTCGTTTTTTTATTTATCGTCACACTAAATACTCAAACAAATCTCATTTAGCTTACTCTAATTAGAAATAAATAGGTAACAACTGATCGGTTATCAATCTGACTAAATAAAAGTTTATCTTTGACTGATTACACAAAATTGAAATCTGTTTCAGAAAGTGATTATTCAATAAATTACAACGAGATTGTTGAAGCCTTCTGGAATAGGTGTAGCACACAACCAACAAAATCATTTCAATCAATACTATGCAGACCAAAGGTCGAAATGACAAAAGAGGAAAAACCGAACATCATCTACAAAATAAATTATTCCAACTACGAAAAACACTACACCAGACAAAGCGGACACCCTCTTCATCTTCACCTGCACGAACATCAACTAGCGATCGTACGCCATGACATATCCTCGCTTATATCAATGCATGTGGACACGCATCCAAATGGAAAAATGTTGAGATCTTGGATAAAGGCTATTCTAAAAACACCAGAGACTTTTTAGAAGCTTGGCACTCAGGTCAGTCAGCAATCGATAAGCACATTGAAATCGATCCAACTTATCAACCAATCAGAAAAATTATGGACAAACGTAGGTCCAAGAATCAAATCAATGGGAGATACAATCAAAATAAAGAAGTGAACAATGACAGGTTAAAGGTCAACTATAACCAATCAAGATCGAGGTCTACAGGACAAGCTGTAACCATATGTAGGGAAATTTAAACACTTCAATTCTACGTAAAGGTTTTGCCGATGATATTGTTCAGAATAACGATGAAAGCTCCACGATCAAACCAACTCAGAGAACAAAATTCCACCCAAAACTGAATGAGTTTCCTAAATAAAAGTATACAATACTCCACTGTACCATGAATAATTTTATTTCAACTGGTTACTGTCGTCATGGTTCGACATAGCACTAGCAAACATAAAACGATTAGAGACCTGACTAAAATGTGAGATAAATGCTTTGAATTGCAAAAAAGCTTGACTGTTTTGATTGTTTAAAATATTTATATGTGATAATTTACTGTGAGTACCAGACATTATATCACACATGATAATACACATACAATCGTTATGAAATTCAATTTATAAAGATAGACAACCATCAATATAATGAATGTCAAACGAAAAGAATGGTGGGGAACGCTGTGGTGCGTGCTACTTATATTGATGTAAGTAGTATATGACGCGAGTTAAAAACAATGTCTGGCAGCAGATGGGGAAGATCAAGAAAGGAAGCGCGACAACACAATGTAATTTGTAAGAAAACGCATGAACAATGAAATGTGAGACATTGATTTGATGTTTGCAACAGGAACAGTCCAGGTTGATATGATGCATTAATCTTTTGCAAATTGACGATTTACTATATGGTTTATTTTTATTTTATCAAGTAATTTTGTAATTTTATGCTAAATACGATTGGATTGCCCCCACCCGTCTTCTGTTCACTGTAACGCAACATTCAACTAATCAAATATATTCTTCTCTAAAAAAGTTATATTCCGAGTTTATTGGTATATAAAACATACTTGATTTACATATAGATTTCGCACTAGTCCTTTGTCCTTTATCAACAAGACACAATGAAATTAAGAAGGAATATCTTCAAGAAGGGATTATTTTACAGTGAAAAATAAAACCACATATTAAGTATATTTTTTATTAAATTTAAGCATGAAAATACAAGTAACTAAGTAAACGACAATTACTCAAGATTCGACCAATAATATCAATACATTTTGTATTTCTATTCAGATTCTCAAGTCATATGATTTGACTCGATTTCCTTCATATATATTGGTCGGTTTAAATTGTTTGTCGTTCCGAAACCTAATTGAGTGGTTAGAAAAATGTGTCTGCTTATCGGCATATAACTTCCTCCTGTAATTCGTTTCATTGTTTAGTCATGAGAAAGTTCACATCTTTGGCTGATGACGATTTATTCGTTCCTTTTTCCATTTGAAACCATTACAATTGACAATAAATAACAATCACTTTCGAAGTATATATCTCAAAGTTCAACTGTTCACTAAATACAACATTTTACCAGTTCAAGGTGTTCTGACATTAGACATAATCCTTATGGTTTAAAATAAAGTTTATATAACCTAATTCATCATTGTCATCAATAATTTATGATATAATAAACTTACATCTTTATCAATCTTTAAACTTAGAAGACTCAGTTCCATTTTTGCTAATTTTTTCACAATAATTTTAGGTATAAATTTGTTATTTTCATCTATCCAGTCAGATTTAACTTCTTCAATTTGTGAATTAATTTCAGTTTCTTCTTGGTTTTTTGATATAGTATTGTATTCGTCTGCATTATTATACTGACCATATGTATCTACTCCTGTATAGTTCACTAACTGTTCATAACCTTCTTGAAAATGTATTAAACTTTTATGTAAATAATCTAATTCATGTTTATTAAGGAAGTTTAAACAACACACATCAATAACACCGATCACTTTATTATTGCAATCAGTAAATGGAAATGTATAATGTTTTCGACCAAGTACGCAATTAACTAATGAATATCCAGATTCTAGTACGTCGAACAGGTAGTAGCTGAAGATTAACAACAAACCAATAATGACGATTAAGTGAGGGAATACACAGAATTTTAGGTAGATATCCTTAAAATAATTAACAGTTAAATATAGCTGCCTCAAAAAATATTCAGTAAGTGGAAACTAATCATACTGATTAGCAGTGCTTGGAAGGTTATTCAAGATGATTTAAGCCCGTGGTATTCATTTTTTCCGCTTATTATTTGGCCCATATTTCTTTCATTGAATAAATATTAGACACAATTTTGCATACTTACAGATAACTTCATTGTTATTTTTGTTTATAGTTAATCTGAATTAATATTAAATTCATAATAAAGGTTTATTATAAGTGATCTCAGTTAATAGTAATTAGTATCCAATAGTTTTATTCAAACAGATATACATCATCTAAGTATAGTGCAATACAGATATAAATGTATATGAAAGAATACTCAACGTTTACTAGTAACACCAGGAATAATTTAAATGATATATCAATTTTAAATGCAAGGATTAATTGGTGAAATAAGCATGAAAATTTATTTTCTTTGGTAACCTGCCTTTATTCATGTGGAAAGTTTATCAATTATACTTTTTCATCAATGTTTATGTAACAAAATAAAAGCACTTTATCTATTATTAATTTTCGTCATTTTAAATAATCTGTGGTTAGCAGATAAAATATAAACAACATAGAAGAACTGAAACAGTAGTTAACTGTAGTTACAAGTCATGAGTTAACATGTTTACGTTATATTAGGTTGAAGCAGATATATATTCAAGGAATTTATAGTGAATTTACTAATATCATATACCTGCTTTATCACGACTTTTTATGTCATATAAAATAAACAAACTAGTTTTTACATTTTTTGTTGATTAATATTGTTTCATACTATTTCTTATCTCAATGTAAAATTCTATTTTATATTTGGTTGTAAGCAGCTGATGAGAAACCTCGAAATAAAATGAATTCATACTATTCTGCATCAATATTTGTTCTTGCTTTACTTAAATTCATAAAGGGAACGGATTACATGACATTAATATTGTGTCCATTGAACATAGTAATTTTGAAAATAAATGGAATTATACCAAATTATTGAATGAAATTAAACGTTTTTCAACATATGAATTTACACATAAATTTGGCATTAATATTTAAATAGAACACCACATGTTAGGTTTATAAATGAATTAGAAATTTATACTTTTATTGTTATCCCTAACTGTAGGCTAATAATGTTTATTAAACGGTACATAAATGAGTGTCAGATACCGAAATTTGGGTATAAAATTAAAGTTTCTTTTCTACAGATTTGTATAACATCAAACATTATTAGCATTACAGTTCTCAGATTTTGAAGAAAAAAATAAGAGACGCAAATCATATACCAAGCAAAAATTCGTATACTCAGCTTTGAGTTACATTTTCTAAGTATGAAAATTAGTATTACTATTCAACTGTCGAAACGAAAACAGGTATCTCATTGTTTGAACCTACCTCAGAGTGATTGTGAATGTTAACAGTAAATAATGTTTTTTATTCTAAATTAAAAACAATAATTTCAGTATAATCTAAAGATAACTGAGAATTTTAAAAATAAAATGAAACTATGATAATTGTATTATATCAAATAGAAAATTATTATAAATCTAGTAACCTATTTCTGGCATTAATCACTCTTTTATAAACTAATAGGCTAGTTTTTTAGTGTGAACAAATGGGTTTTTATTTAGCGATTTGAGTTTATTACTCATAAATATATCATTATCAAGTTAAAAATAAGTGTCGACCTATATTTCTGATTTAATTTATGAGAATGATTGAGTAACAAACATTTATGAATGAGGTCACTACAGCAAAGCAAGATCGATAGCTGAATTATTTTAGATGAGTAAATTTGGTTCAAATCTTTTATGGCAATTGATCCGGCAAACTATAGTAAATTCTATGTTTTTTGTTTGCTAATAATCTTGAAGGAATCTGAAGCATCAACATTATGACGAATGTCAAGCAGATAGAGTACAATAGCACTGTTAAAAACAAGTTGTCCTCTTAATCTAAGCTTCTGTACTTAAAGAGGCGAACACTAACCTTCCTTTCTGTTTTTTCGATGTCGAGCTTTGGTGATCTCACTTATAAACATATGTTACGCGATTCTCCTCATGACATTAATCATTAGTCCCTACTTCTTTTCTGATGAGTACTCAGTCACTTTCATTCAAAGATCTACACAGCTATAGCATTGACATCTCATTTCCAAATAATTCTATTTCTATGCCCTTAGTTTTGTATTCTAGAATAATTTTGCATTCAACGTATAAATATTCACACTTAAACGTCTCTTACAGTTATTCCATATTTGTTGCTCTTTTCATTAACCTTCATTGTGGAGGAATTTTCCGATATTATGATATGTAAAGTATGTAAGCTGAACATTATATTTCATTAGACAAGAGATGATTTCTGAGGTATGTACACAATATACATTCACCATATAATTAAGAGTTATAATCTCATAGATTATATTAACCTTTTATTATAAAACTATGTAATCTAACCCACAGTTTACGGTTACAATTTATGACTTTCTAGTCAATAAAATTATTTAATGATTGTATAATCAGATTGTCTTTTATCTTAAACTTTTGTTCAATTCAGTTAAAATGTCAGGGTATTGAATTTGATTGTATTCTTGTTGGGCCAACAAACTATATTGATCGAAGATAACTTGGCAAATATTAATTTCCTGTTTGCAGACAGATTTTATTGATAGTCAGTTTATCATGTTAAATTTAACTGTATGGGTTTGTCACTCATTTAAATTTGGCTTAAATATAAGTAAAATGGGTACCTTTTTCATCACATTATCGGATGATAGAAGTTGTTTGAAATAATTGACAATCGTCATCTGAATTTGAAGACACTTTTAATATTCTGAATTACAATGAGTCTCGCTTGCTGACAAATACAAATGTAGCATTCTTAAAACTTGTACTGTAGACGAACATAAATTTAATTAAACTTACCCTACCGTGAAAAACTACTACTGTTACGATCCAGTCAGTCAGCTACAACGTAGGACCAGGCACATATATGCATCGGTCCAAGTTGCCATACCTCATCAGCACAGCAAGATGAACACCAGATTAATAGAAGCAGTTAAGTCAACGGTGGTAATATGTATGAAGAGAGAGTTAACGAGTACTTACGATTCTCAAAAGACAATGACTTTCTCTAAATAAGTGACTTCAGAATTTTGATGACGTACTACAATCCGTGCAGTGGGATTAAACGATGTTTGATTAGAGTAGAACAGTATTTTAACTAGATAACTCTCCAATACAAGGTTTGTAGTGTAAATAAATCGCTGAAATTTCTTAAAGTTGGTATTCCTTCTTAATGAGCACCACGTAATGAGATTATTTCAGCTTAAACTTTCAAATTATTGACCTGAATATAACAAATTGTTTACTAATTAAATAAAGCCATTTGTTATAACTATGCTCTTCTTTCAGCTATCATAATAATCAATCTAAAGAATGGCTATCGTTTTGTATATAATTTCATTTATGTTGTATTTATAAAACAAGACTAAACAAAAGTGCAAAACAGTGTGAACGTAAGATCACAAGTTTAATTATGTTACTTTTCAACTATTTGTCATTACAATGTTAATTCAAACTGTTAACGCTAGTAAAATTCACAGTGAATTCAATAATTCACAATTAGATATTTGTTTAATAAACTAAAATAATAATTCTCTGTTTTTATAATGTACAGAAGATTTAAAACTCAAGAAAAATGTTTATAATGAAATTAATTTCTGTGATCTGAATGACTTATTCGATCAAAGACTACAATGTCATTAAAATCTCTTGTTTAATACTCTAGCTGGATAAATCAGATAATAGAAATTAAAGTAATATGAATAAATGTAATTGATCCTCATTTTTTGTTTCTATACTTTCTGATTAAATTTAGGAAACCATTAAAAGTGGTGTACTACTACACTTAAACTCCGCTTTTTTAATTTTGAAGCTGGTTAAAATAGCTCACTTGTATGGTAGTAAATAGTTATAATCCTCTAAAGTAAACAGTACAAGTAAATTTAAAGATAAATGTAAGTCATTACCTAATTCTAGAAGTTAACCATAGGTAATTATTATAATTTATAGGTAACCACTAATTATTTTAACCCATCCATAAATTAAACTTTAATTTGTTTACTCTTAGTATTCAAAATATAATGATTAGTGGATAAGATACATTTTTTTGTATACTTCATAGAATGACAATAATTACAGTTATAACAGTTCAAATGAAATTTAAAACAATTAGTCCCTTTGATAAATTTCGATAATGATATTAGAAGACGAAGATTAACAGAACTATGTGATATATTAGCGCAATACATTTCGAACAATCTGGTCACACATATACTTGTTAAGAGCATTTATATATAAAAATAAAAGGTCAACTAGACAGGAAACGGGGTAAGAGGAGATAAGGATAATGATAAGAGTAATAATAATAATAATGTGAACACAAAGCGAAACCTAATCACTCTGGATAATAAGTCAATATTACCAGGGTAGGTTTAAGGTAAGAACAAACTGTTTTTGAACACATAAAGGGGATTTGAATTTTCGTATGGCTAAGGCTTCAATAAACCTTAGTATACGCCCTTTTACACTTTTATACAGCACTACAAAAGCTGAATTTAGATCAATCTTGTGACCTGTTTCAATTATATGTTTAGCAATAGAGGATGATGGATGTTTATCCTCTGCTCTTATTGGGTCACTTGATTGTATTTGTTTCCGAAGCCATTTGGGTACATGTTCACTCACCCTAATGTTGAGATCACGATTACTCCTCCCTATGTATGTGTGACCACACACACATTTAAATTGGTAAACACAGTGGGATGTGACGCAATCGTTTCCATGTACTTTAGGTTTTGAATGAAGCATGCACCTTGTTCTTTCTTTGATGATGACCTTTGCTGCGCAATAGGTTTTATTGATGACTGACTTAAGTCGTTTCAATAGAACGAAACGGCCGTCCAGCGCTTCCAGGTTTCCCATAGTGGTCTAGCTTCAGTTGACTCATGATCTCAACCATTCAAATTACTATAATATCCACAAAACCCTTCTGATAAAAATAACATAGTTTTCAATTAGTTTGTTTATCACCAAGATAATTGCTGTTTGTAACAACTCATTATATTTTTCTGTACACTAATTTTTTCTATCAATTTAAGAAATCATTTACTGTTAGTCTGAGCTGTGTTGAATGTTTAAAAACTTCTGATTAAATTTTATGAGTTAATTATAATTTGTTATTGAAGATAATATTCAGATCGTTCAAAATCGTTAAGAACGTCTGAGATGTATTTTTTTAAATGTCAAGATTAACAATTCTCCATGCTTGTCATATATTAGTTTCATTGATTATTTTCTTACTTTCTTTGCCATGTTTGATTTACTTCTTGTCAGATTACGTCAGTTATCCTGATGTGAAGTATAACAACTTGAACTGATGAATGTTTTTGTCAGTTCTTATGCCACTCACAACATAATAATTAACTAACTTAGTTAGGATGGTCGTATATTTTGAAACTGTCGAGCAAGACACTTTCTGCTAGTCATATAATTAAAACAAAAACCCGATATAAAATCGTAGTTATAAATAGTTTATACCATGTTTCTGTAACTAAATAATAATACAAAGCCAAATAAGTTTCTGTTTCTCTGCCTTCGTAGATGTATGTCAATTAATATATAAATAAAGTTTTAAAAACGCATGAAGTTTGAATTTAGTATACTTTATTATGTTGGCTGTTTGAGGAGGAATAACAGCTAACTAACCCACATCATTCTAAAAACACCCATGGAGAGTTGTTCGCCTATAGCTTATCCTTAATAAACAAAACATTTCCGCGAAAAATTAGATTATTCCGGGAAATATATATTTATTAATTAGATAATCATCTATACATTACATTTTTTTCCTTCTAAGTAGCTTGTTAGCGTTGTGAATCATAAGATGAAATCATTTTTTCATGCGATATATATTATCATCATATTTTCATTGTCCTCCTATAACTGAATCTGCCAATTTTTTATGTTCTCTGTTTAACTTTTTGGTAGATATGATTGTTGGAAAGGTAAACTAAAATATGATGTCCTAATAATCAATAGATTTTATATGTAAAATACCACATTACCCTACCTACACCTTCATTTGATAGTTATCGATGTGTTGTCTAAATAAATTTCAAATCCATTAAATGAGTGTAACACTTGACATTATAATGTGTCATATGGTAATAAAACCATATCAGAAGAAATAACGAGAAACTGAAAAGAATTACATACTACTGGTGAACAGTTGTACGTAAAATATTAATGAAAACAAGTTAAATTAGGTCACATTTACTTAATCAATGCACTACTTATTAGTAGGTTGAAATTGTCAAGGTAATTACTCACCACGTTTTATAAAATAACGTATCGATTTTGACAAACAGTGACGTATATCTTTATATAGTTATGAGTGAATATATTATGAAAACTGCAGCTCCACTCCCTAGTGATTCATGAATATTAAAATATTTAGTTTCATTAAAGCAAGAAACGGCTTAATGAGTAGTAAGAGGTACAGTAATCAGTCAGTGAATCGTGATGATTTCAGATATCAAGATGAATAGTATGACATTTTAAGACATCAAATGGTATAGCTGGAATAATCAAATAATATCATTTTGTCTTCATTATTGGAAGCACTACGGATACTCAACGTTGTAGAAAGTTAGTATGAAGTTTACTTTAAGTTATAAAACGTCACTAATATGTATAAAATTAAATGCTTCATAAAAATATTTATATTTGTGTCTAATTTCTGACAGCACAATCAGTCTGATAATGTAACTTACTATAGTTGGTTTTTCTTTTTATCGATAACATATAGGTCAGTATGAACTGTTGTTTGGTGAATACCATGTTTTGATACAAGTTTGCGTAATTTATAATTAACCTCTTTGCTAGGTGGATATGTTTTCTTCTCTGTCGAATCTATTGTCGTCGAATGGTTTACATCACCATCATCATCATTACATCGGTGGTAAAATGCAATTTCATCAATATTGCCTAGCCGTTTATAAATCCAGTCGAATGCATCATGTATCATGGAACTGAGTAAGTATCGACTATTTACAAGCGAGAAAGCAAAGCCCAGATGATAAGCTACACCCTGCAGTAAAAAAAAGATTTAAAGAAAACCATTGAATAACTAACTGTAAAAACAATTACTTTAAGATATACTTGGAAAAATTGTGTGTGTGCTACTTATATCGACATAAGTAGTATATGACGTTAGTCGTGAACAGAATGTCTGGCAGCAGAGAGAAGAGGATCGAAAAGTAAAGAAAGCAAACAGAATGTAATTTGTATGAAAATCCAAGGACAATGAAGTCAGACAATTGATGAACATTTTGCAAATTAAGCATTTACTTTATGATTGTTAGATTTTATTAACAATTCCAGTAATTTTGTGTTAAATCCATTCAATTGTGTCCATTCGTCTTCTTGTTCACTACAAAATGTAATCCTTTTCCAAACATTTTTAAGAAATCATTTTCACTATTTCAAATATAGGTTTAAAATATCCACCTCGTAACTGTAATTTTAATTATTATGGTAGGTAAATGTAGACCAAGCAACAAAGTTTTGAATGTACGTTCCATGCAAGTAGCTAAAATTTACTCATATTTCTATTACTTGTCAGTAAAATTTAACAGTACATTAATTTTAAGTTGATGGTCAGTTAAACATTACTCTGCTTAAAATGACATCAATTTTAATTGCTTAAACTTACATTGAATATAAATATTAGCTTGATTGATATTTATTCATGGAGAAGTTAATTATGATAAAATGTTTGATAAATAGATAGTTCTTTTCAAATCACTAGCTTTATTGTAATTTTTTAACAATATTTTCTTACATTTTACTGTACTCACTGGTTTACTCTTCTGTGTTGAATCACTCTGTAACCTGTTTATTTGAATTTGATATTTAAATGAAAGATTCCTACAAGTTTTTGGAAAAACCTCATAACAATTATTATCTATGTGTTATTTAGTTGACCAGTTTTTTCTGTTCTAAAAAAAAACTTATTTTGAAGCTCAATGTACATTCTATTTTTGTTGTTTGATGACATTTATATGGTAATAATTGAAATCAATAAGGAAATTCAAAAGACTTTTGGTGATTTTTATCATATATATCTTATTAACATCCACTGTACTTTCTAGATATCCAATATAAGATCATTTGATTGTTCTTCTATGATGAGTTGAAAATTAAATGTCATAAGACAAATAAATGATTTCAATAGTCAAATTATTTCTGACTAGTTAAATACTCTTTAGTGTTGGTAAAAATGACCAGATTAGCATTTTTGTTAGCAATGTAACTGAGATATTTCAGTTTTATAACCTATATTTGTCCTGCGATACCAATAATTAATGAAATACTTTTCGAATTAATATCATACATATAATTAGTATTCTGATGCTACAATACTCCGGTTAGCATTTTTCAACAGTTATAATGTTAGGAATGAACGATTCAAATATTAAATGCATTAGAAGTAAAATTAAAAATTTAGTAATATGTTTTTTTTAGAATGAGCGAAATATCCCATAAATCTTAGCACTAATTAAATTCAGCCGATATAATGTGAAATGTAAATGAATTCACTCACATGCACACGCTACTAAGGCTTCATATAATCTATCAATAAATAAACGTTTGTTATGCACAAACATACAAATATTTAAGTGAATGACACACACTTCCTACCCTGACCATATATAATCGATACAGTGGTGAACCATGGAATGAATCGTTTCATCAAACTTTTATGATATATACATCCGTTATTTTTATTCATTAATATTTGTATTCACATAAGATAGAATAAGTGAATATTTTATTAGATATTAAAAATGTTAAAACATGTCACAAATCAACTAGTCATCTAATTGATTTACTTATATTAAATATGTCTTCGATTCTTTTACTTTTCTTTATAGAATAGCGATGACGATCATCTTCAGATGTAAGTAATGTTTTTCGTCAAATGTTTATTTCTTAAAAACTGAATATATATATATATATATATATATATATATATATATATAGGTTTTTGTTATATAGATGCGTGAAAGCTTGTCGACTTGACTAACCATGGAAATTGAAGTTGTAAATATTATGGTTCCTGAAGGTTTACAGCGTGATATATTGTATTAACTTTGTATTTCAATGTTGGCTTGTAATTAAACTGAGACTAATTGTTTGTCATTTATTGGCTTACCTTCTTGATGTCACCTTTAAATTACGACTTCTATAACTGATATAATAATCTGAAGTTAGTGACGAGAACACAAGTTTGAGGTATCTCAGTTTTATGCTTGCAATCATATGAATTTATTAACTCCGCTTAGCTAAGACCAAACATTTAACATCGTCATATCATTAAGAAGACTACTTATCCAAGTTTATTTTTAACACTAACTTACAATCAAGTAATTTCACCGGTTTTATATTGCTTTATGTCTTCTACCACTTTAAGTCTGTAGAATATGAATAATCTTAACTCTGTAGTGTTTAATTGACTGATTGTAAGAAAATATCTAACTCGCTGGGGCCACAAGTAATTTAAATAACTGAATGTCACTGTTTTTTTAAAAGTTCTCTTAATACTACTTGTATTCTATTTCTTCCTACAGGTCTTCTACTCTTAGAACTTCTCCGATTACTTTATGTAGAAAACTTAAACGTCTACGCATTACATCACTCCCATTATATCATAACTTCGTTCGCCGCTAGAACTGACCAGAGTTGTTTAAAACTAATCAGATTACTTGTCAATATCATATTTTACAGAACTAAAATATATTTGGCTAAAAATAATTCATTTCAAATAGATTATATTGATAATTGGATGATAACATTAAAGAATATAACAATATGGGGATTTGATGGACTTAGTCAAATTACTCAATACGATGACCAATTTTCTATTGAACAAGAAGAAATATGGCTACAGTCAAATAAAAATCAACCTAATAGTGATGTTTTAATTAAAGAATGGATGATGAAACGTGATGAAAAATTATGCGATGTTTATAAAATTAAATTTTCAATTGAATTAAATAAAAATATTGAAATGCTTGCAAATTGGTGCTTATTTCCTAAGTGGAATTATTTAACGTCCGAAAATAATTTTATGCATGTTAAATTTATCGGTTTACGCTTTAATGTCAGTTTACATTTGTTTATTAATCAAAATGGCGCAGTTGGTATGAAGTTTGATCATTTAAAAATAACACGATTATCCAACATACAATTACATACTTTTCAAGATCCTATTTATATTACTTCCAAAATGAACAGTAGTCAAAATGATATTGTAAATTCTTTTGAAAATTTCACTTTATCTTGGTTACTTGATAAAAAATCTTTACGTGAGATATTATTTTATTATTTAGAAACATCAGTTATTGATATATTGAACAGGAATTTAAATCATTTGCAAAATAATTTTACACTTAGTAAAGGTTTAAGCTGCAATGTTTAAACTTTTTTTTTAGTATTGGAACACTCAATTTCGTTTTCTACGCCAATTACAATAACGTTTGAATATTTATGCTTATTGTATCATACTGTCTGAACTAATATATCGAATCCTAATTAAAATGATATAAAACAAACGTAGTATGTACATGTCAAGGCTTTACAAAATAGAATGATTGGATATAGAGCTTCATATACGATATTGAATGTTTTGCTAATTGTTGTGCGGGTTCAGTTTTCTTAAAGTTGATGATCCTAATGTAATCAGAATCCAATCCTCATTTATGTAAACCCTGAACTGTTCTCTAATTCGTTAATGTGTTTTAATCTATGCATCTTAAGAAGCTACTTTCAATTTTTAATGGGAATTGTTTGGTGTGTATTAGAAAATTTACTGATCTTGTTACAGAATTTCTGCTTGTTATATGTTCTTATTTGGATACATTAGTCTTGTATCTCAAAAATGTAGCACTGTCTTCATCATGGCTTTTACTGTTAACTGTTACTAAACAGTGTCATACCATATTTAAATTTTTGCTTCAACATAAAAATCAATAGTTAGCCAATTATCTCGATTACTCAAGTAATCAGCAGAAGCTCCATCAAAGTCATTATTCTCCGACTAAGTAGTATTATGTTGTCGGTTGAAAATCCGTATTTGTCTTAATATCTCACGAATAAAATTAATAAGATCAAGAAACAACATACCAGTTTTTATAATTTTATTTATTAGGTGTTGCTACATTAAAATTAATGGGAAGAAATATAATATGGTAAAACTATGTAACAATTTCTCTTGATTTCAGTGCTACTTAGTAATTTGAACTTACGACACCATACGTAATCTAACTCAAGACGTTTAGATCGTTTGTTAGACGTGATGGGTTGAGATCAGAGATTAAAAATTCACATTATCAATTTTAGTATTTTTGCCACACAACCATGTAACGGCATCGATGGTTTATGTCTCTCTATCTACATGTATGAGCTCAACCTACGTCACTTTACATGTAGAATACAGAGAAAAGAATCTTGAACATAATTACCGGCGAGCAGAGGCTTATTTGTTCACAATCTAAAATAAAACCAAGATACCAAAAGCAACTTTCAAATCTTACGCGATAAAACTGAATTTCATGTTCTTCAAACTTTGGTAGCTGGTCGTTATTTTTCAATTTGTCTACTTTCATTACTCCGATAAAGTATTTCTTAGCAGAAGGTATTGGTATGGCAAGAGCGAATGAAGGTGACTGATAACTTTGTTTCGTGTTCGTTTCAGTACATACTGACATGTTATGTGACTTATTTTCGGTAAGTGAAAATCTTTTCAATCTTGACATTTCAGAATGAACCAATGTTAAACCAGTTCTTAAACACTATTGTGGATAAACAAAAGAAATCCAAAGACATTTATTTTAAGTATAAAATAAATCAAAGAATTATCTAACTTTTATGCTGTAAATTATGTAACTAAATCAAATGTACCACAAGGAATAATTTGCTATTAAATATAAATACAAATATAATACTTACTAAGTAAAACTTTCTTCATAACAGATAACTGATACAAAAACTTTGAGATAGTTTAGGATTATTTAAAAATTTCTTTTATTATATTCATCACTCAACACCCGAATACCATGCCCGTAAATAAGGGATTAGTCTGTAAAAGCTTGACTTTGCAAAACTGAATAAGTTTTCAGTTTATATAAACCATGTTACAAATTAAAATACCCTAAGTCACAAAAAATGGTATTTTAATATTGTCCAAATTAGAAATCCAGATCATGTAGATTAATAATTATAAATGTGTTATATCCTAACGAAGATTAAATTATGGGTGAATTCTGAGATCTATTAATGGACTAATATTATAAATATATTCTTATTATATAATTATTGAGTAATTAGATTATGTATATTTATTTTCCTCTTATTATAAGCTCTATAGACTATTGTTATACGACTACTATTCTTAAGTTATAACCAGTTTATTATAGCCACTTTTTAGCTTGATCTTGTACAATTGTTATTTTTTTATCTAAGGTATGTTATGGTTTAGTTTGTTTGTATATAAACCAATTATGTCTGAAATAGATCATTCGTACCTTGAAATCTGTTATTGGCGTTCTGGAGCCAACAGGCAGGGTTAGGCAGAAAAAGGGCCAACAAGAAGGCTAGGCTGCTCATACCGGTCAATACGTCATTGTTGTGGCACAGTGATAAGATTTTATAAGTCGTAATCTCATGGGCGATCATATCGTGTGATAAATAACCGGGCAGAAGTCACAACAAAATCTACTTGCCTTAGATATGGAAAATATATGTTCGATTGTCTTTCCAAAAACTAGTACATTTTTAAAATTATTCGGATTATGTTCATACATGAGATTATTACAGCTGAAAAGAGACGATATGTCTCAACGAAAATCCGAATATATTCTTTGATAGTACCCTACGCTTAACTTTTTTACTATTTGAGGATTTGAACATGGCAGAAATATATTTGAGTTTTAACCTTTATCTAATTAGAAGTATGATTTCATTGTGATTTACTGAAATAGTTTCAGGATGATGAGGGAAGTGATAAGATGTACTTGAATCTGAAATCACTATTTTGAGCTTATGGTCGTTGATTTAAAGACATGTTTACTTCTTTATGGGTGTGTGAGTTGTTTAGTTCTTTTGAAAGGGGAGACCAGTGGATTTCACCAGTGTCGAGTATGTGCAAGGTACTTAAAGAAAAAAATGGAAGACGGTCGTTCAGAATCGTAAAATAATTGGAGTTAGACTATCACGCCACTAATTATTGGCTCAGTGGTCTAGAGATTAAACATTCGCACGCGAAACCGGAGGTCCTAGGTCGCGGGGTCGTGGATGCACACTGCTGAGTAGTCCCATACTGAAGAAAAATGGACGTCACTTTCTTTCACTTTTTAGCCGGTTTTCTGACTTAGATTAGCTCGTGATCTCAACGGAATTTATTCTGTTGTTGCTCAATCACAAATCATCCAACCATTTCTCACTATCATTGTGGTTAGGTTAGGACTAGATAAGTATTGTGTTGTCGTTAAATCATGATTCTTCGTAGTCACGGATCAAGTATTATCTTTTGAGTGATAAAAACTAAAGTACACTGTAGGGAGAAGTAATTTTTGTCATTGATTCATACGTTATCATTGATCCCAGTGACTATACGAAATAAATCCCTACTGTTTAGCATCGTAGAAGACAAATTATCATTGTTCCACTTAGTTATGCACATTATTTTATGTAACTCAAACAATATGAAAACATTTGACATATTAATAATCACTTTCTTTTAACCGTTTACCTTGAACAATAAATCGGATTCATCTCCCTGTGGACACTGATCAAGCAGAATTTCAGCTTCCGATTCTGGTATGGCTGCTACATATTGTAAACGGGATTGTATATTTGTATCGAAAGGCAATGCATCATTTGTTGTTTCTGTTGGATAAAGTAATGCAATGTTAACACTGGTCTGCTTTTGTGCACCATGTTTTATTGTATCTTTTATGAGTGTCTTCACGCGTAAAGTAAGAATGTGCATAAAAAAGAAGGTATTCATCGAGAAATAATTATAATTCCGTGATAATTATGAGCACACTAATAACAATTAATTAGTAGTAAAAGAATCATTTCATCATTCTTAATAATTATGATTTTAAATGTGGAATTATGAAGAGAATAATTACTTGTATTTATCTGCAAATAAATATAACTCTCACGAATTGAAAATTATCATCTTGTTTTTGGTTGATTAAAACAACTATTCATTGTTTGTCAGATTTAGTTGTTAGATTAGATGAATTAAAATAATCTAGAAACAGTAATACTGATATCTTTAATATCTACTATATACTTAACAAGCAACTTATAAAAATATCTGGTAATTTACTTCTGTTAATTTGTACTTAACTAGGATCAACGTACTTATAATTTATTAGATAAAGTTACAAAAACAAACATGAAAAAAATGGTGTAAGTTAACCGGAATGTGAATGTATCAAGTAAGATAAACAAATAATTTATTTATGGTGTTAAATCTGCCACTTATTCATGAACTTACTTTTATTAGGTTACATAGGTTAGCCAAATAGATCACAATTATCTACTGAACTTAAAAAACAAGAATGGCTTTTTCTAATAATTAGTCATTTATATTGTGGATAGAATTATCTATAACCAATTGACTTAAGTCATAATAATGAAATCATTTTGAATTACTATTCATAAGATAATTCTACATAGTGGAAAACAAAATATTCACTTATTGTAATAGACTAATCATGTTAGCCATCTTAATTTAAATTTCATTGTCTTTCAACCATAGAATAAAGTTAGTTATCTTACCTGGAAAACGGTTTTATAAACTAATTCCATTGAATTATCAAAGGTATTCAGTGAAACTGATAAAATTTTCTCTATCCATTCCCGTCGAATTCGTGTTCTTATTTTCTCAGATATAGTTTGTATTAATTTTTCTTTTAAGTAATTAAGAAACTTTTCCAAACAACTGAAGTCAAACTCATCATGACCAATCAGATATTGATTATTTTTAGGCCAAAATATGTGATCTAATAGAATTTTGAAGTCAGTGATATTTATTTCAACTGGCTTTTCTGGATAATGGTAATAATGTAGATTTTGTAATTGATTAACTGTGCTTTGAATATATGACGGACCACTAAAGTCTCGGATGATGATATTAAACTGCTGGTAAATGTAGAACTTGAAGTTACCTGATCATTAGACATTGAACAAGACCTTGCAGTCGATTGAATGTTAGAAGCTAAATCTGACTTAGCTAAAAACACATCAATAATGGTAGGGAATAATATAATTTGAGTTTGACCAAATAAAACGTTGAATTAAACATTATTCAATCTTGAAATTCCATCTTTCCTCTGCTTTATTGTTAACATAAGCAGCATTTGAAAATAATTTACATTATTCAAAGCTACTCTGACACGTAGTGAGTCCTTTTTTAATACTCAGAACTAAGTTAGAGTGCACCGTACAATTACACTAGTTCCTGAACATGAGGAACGTCTGGAATAAAATGAATGTGACAGTCAGCAAACTGGAGCTGTCTAACTGTATTTACTTAATTATGACTGCTACCACTCGTGGAGGAGCATAGGCCTCCCACTAGCACTTCTCACCCAACTCTGTCATGGGTAATCTTCTCCAGTTTTTTCCAGTCGCTATTCATCCTTTTAATGTCTGCTTCAGATTCTCGGTTGACATTAAGTGACCGGCCTATATGATTCCCTACCACCCCTTTTAAAAAAATTGTGGGGTGTGAATGAAAAATTTAGGTATCGTTGATTGGTGGACTTGTTTTGCAAGTGTGTGCTCAAGTGATAATGAACAAACATTTTGTTACCTTTAATAATTTTTTGATTGGTCGTAAACGGTTCATCTTTGTAATCTGATTAGTTGAAATCGAAATCGCATCTGGAGCTGTGATTGGATGTCAGAATTTTCATTTTTGACATTTGAAATTTAATGATAATGAATAATCCTTTTTGTGTAATCTTAGTCTTGAAAAAAATTTAGACTTTTGAAGAAAAAGACACCAACTTAATTGCATTACCGTGCAATCCTACTGTTAGTGAATGTGTATTGGGATCAATTTTTGTTTTCCGATCAAGTATACCTTGAATTGAAGTCGTTAATTATCTGAACACGAATAATTATATGTATCTCAGTAAAAGAAAGTTTTTGGGAAAAAGCCACCGAAAACCGGTTTGAATATTTGATAATAGGGATTACTGAATGAGGTCAGTAGTCAAATATTTAATACCAAATTAATAAACAAATTATCACCAAAGTGTGTGCACAGGTTTTTTTGTAACACATGGTGTGTTAATGGGAAAAAGAAATCAACATATCAATAAATCATTATGATAACTTACTGGTTGCAATATGTATAATTCAGGTGAAGCAATCATAGACCATCATTTAATGAACTGACTTAGACAGTATATGAAAGTAGTAATAAATTTTCCGAAATAGACACTTAATATTTAGTAAACGATTATTTTGTAAATGGTCATTCATAATGAGAATTAGAAAACGTTAGATTTAAATGTGGTTAATTTGGAAATCCATTGAAACACGGTTCATTATTTCCACTTGTAAATTATTTGTAGTTCTGTATTTTAAAATTAATTTTTCGGTCGTAATAAAAACTAGTTTGTGTTTAATCAGTCATGTGTGAATATTGTCAACCGCCGTAATATGAAACCTGAATTATCTAGACATTATGAATGTAACCATTTTTGACAAGCATTTGAAGTATCAGTTTCATGAAGTGTAAATGAACAAGCCTACGTCGTCGGACTGAGTCAACAAATATCTATCGACTTTAAACGTATAAATATGAATAAGGTCAACTGTATCAACGAACATTTACAATGTTATTATTATTTAATTTCCTTATTATTATTATTATTATTATTATTATTATTATTATTATGTCAATTGACAAGATTCAATTCTTGTACTATGTATTTCATTGACACCAATTTTTTTGCATTTTCAATTTTCCTATTATGCTTAGTCACTTACTGTGACTGAACACTTTACTGCAAATCATCCCGATCTTTAGTGAATGACCTTTTTAATTTGTAAACATATATATCGTTACAGATGTAAACGTTAACCATTGTTAACACATTACATTGTCAAGTTCATTAATGCCATGCCTTATTTTTGGACTTTATAAAATATTAAAATTATGGACTAATAACTGTATAGTGTGATGATGAAGTTAATGAAAACGATTGTTTGCTAAATTATTTTTTATTTTTGAATATTTTAAGGGAATTTTTAACTGGTACAATGTGATTGTACCAGTAATAAATAGTTGAAGAGGTGTGCAAATGAATACGGTGATATAATCAGTAGTTATGAATAACAATGGAGGCTTAGTTTACGATCAGACGTACTTCTTACGTACGCATAGTTCTGGTTTCAGGAACTTTTAATATAAAACAAGAATATGAAATTCTTGTTTTTTGTATTCATGAAACAGCTAATATTCGCATTTCTTTTTACACTTACTATATGACCTTTTATCACATGAATCATTTCAACGATGATGGTTTCAACTTGTTTTCTAATGTCATTATTTTATTCCTAAATAAGTTAATTTTCTCAATTTTGGTTACTTCTCTATGAGCTTTAATCACATTCATCTTTGTAATAATATTCACTAATAAATGTCATCATAAATTCATTGACCTAACGACAAAATTACAATTTTCACTATTTTGAAATATTCCTATTAAAATGTACTCAAAATGTACTATTATTAGATAGATTTCAAATGTGTTACTAAAACATGAACGGTAATCACATTATTTTAAATATAAAATTACTAGATTAGTCTTTATTAGATGACAAAATCTTGTCTAAGTTTTCTTAACCTTCATATCTAATAAACGTTAGAAACAAGTTTACGAATACATGAGCGACAATCGCTTTTCCATTATTAATCTCTAAGGGATATCTAAATTCATGAGACATTAATAGGTGCTTAATCACTTGACCTTTGCCGCGGAAAAGTAGTAGATAAAAAATAATGGAAATCAAATTGTGGGTGGCCCTGAAAAGGGCCTTTACTCGTTCTCGCGGTCGGACGTCGTCACTATTAGTTTGTAATGGCGCCACAGATAGGACAGTGCACTGCTCGTACGTTCGGCGATGGGTCGTAGGCACAGAAGGTATGAAACATTGCTTCACATCTACAGAAAACCCAACCAACCGCATCACCGGTTTCACATGGAGGCTGCGCAAGATTACAGATGTCGCAGAGTCGATTCTCGTCATCCTGTTCTTCATTTTCGATGTCCCGTTCAGTTAACTCTTCGGAGTTAATAGAAATTACTTCCTCCTCATCGTTACTGAGCGTTTCATCCAAATCAACAGTTCCTCGTTGTATAAACGGCACTGCTACGTTAGTCGAGGTTCTTGAAAGGGTGTACGAATGCTGTTCTACATGCAAGTTTACTGGCGTTGTTGGTAGTCTACCGTGAACTATGAAGTCATGATGTGAACTGCATTGTTCCTCCGACATTCGCCTGATTAACGCTATCACTGCATTCTTCATGCTTGGCTGACTCAATTGCATTGGGAAATAATTTTCAACTGCAATATGAGTCAGATAACCATCATAGTGTAACCACCTGTCACAAATTGACTGTACGTTCACATCGGTGTTACTGTGTGTGCAGTAAGCCAATATGTGACGGCATGGTAATCCGTTTTCAATGAAGAATGGACACGAGCACCGGCTAGTATCGACGTGTACGTAGTACGTCCCCGTGGCGTCCATAGCGGTGAATAAATCTTCCGTCAATGCAGACTGCGTTATAGGAATGCGAAGGTGTCGCTTCAGTAGTTGACAGGCAACTGGTGTCAGTCGTTCCTGAAGTCGACGTACTTCCGGCTCCTCACCAATATCGGCTTTCCCCCGACAATCCATTGAATATTTATGTAATCTTGCTTCCATCCAATATCCAGTACGAAGCAGCACATTGAAAATGGATCTGAGAACCGGTGTTTTTCGATTAAGGTGATACATCTTCAAGACTCGGTGACTGGTCTCGACGAAGTTAGTATTGCTCAGTTCAAAGAGAGTGGATGGCGGTCGAAAAGCAGTGGACCATTTGTGTTTCCGTGGTAGAAGGTGGTCTCTGACGTATCTGCCAAACGTTCCGTCCGACATTTCGATTAACGAAAGTACGTTGTTAAAACTACAAAATCATGTTATGTAGATTTTGATTTACCTTTCAACCGTTCGAGTGAACATGAGGCGAAAGAACAGTTGTACAATTTCTGATCGCACCCTCTACAATAACGGTTACTGGGTTAATGTTAATGAACGAAACACTTACCCTCTTTATCACATTCCGAACAAGGTGTACGCGACACAGAATATGGTGTGCATCCGGATACACCTGCGTAATAGCAGCAGCAATTGCAGGTGAATCATCGGTCACAATGCCTACCAGTTGTCGACTGTTGGTACACCGTTGGAAAAAATGCAGGAAGGCAGAAATTAATGTTGACGTTTCGCGACTTAAAAAGGCAATGCACATGGGTATTGCTTTAAAATTCATATCCAGGGCAACGACTTGATATAAATGGACGTTCTCGTTATTCGTTTTGTACGTCCCGTCAAAACCAATTACGTCACAAAAGTGACCGGCCAAATTCACTTGTTCAGCGGTCATGAAGAAGAAATACGATAGACAGTTCTCATCGTCCAATTCGTATTCGCAAAGCCCACCCAAGGATGTTATGTGAGCTTTCAATTTCCCGTAATCACCTATAGTGTACATTATAAATTGGCAAATTCCGTACCAGGAAGGTTCGCGTGTGAGAACACTTTGTACCGCATATTGCAGACATCTTGAGCGGTCAGACATTTGCCATAAGATTGGTAAGCAAAATTCTTTATGTGGAATGCAGCGGTACCGGAAATCAGCAGCGGTCTCACAGTTTCAAACTCCCCATCCGTTAACCTGCGCACCCATGAATTACCCTGGTACCTCAGGGAATTGCACTCGTGATTGTGATGTACATTCCCACGTACAACAGTCCAATAGCCGTCTATAATCTTACAAAACATAAATGCTGGACATTGGGTGTTCATAGAAGCCCTTCGTTCAAAAAATTATAAAACAATTTACCAAATTACCTCCTCCGTCTAATACGTTGTGACGAACCGCTAGATCTTATACGCCCATTTCGCCAACACACAAATTTAATGTAGGATTTTTGATCTCTGCCAATATGCGAATCTCTCACTACATAATGACTGTAAGTCGATCTTTCAAAATTTGTGATAGTGGTCTTTAACGCTTCAACCGATGGAAACGCAACCAGAAACAAGGTAGTCAAAAAGACTTCCTCCATTTCCGTTACGTGAGAAACACCAGCGCTTGTACTCGGCACGTTACTCTGCTCCATAATGACGATTGAGATTGTGCTTCGTCGACAAGTACTGATAATTTATAACAATTTTCAAGACATAACTAACCAATTAAATCTAATTTTTGAAACTAGCCATTTCATTGGACGAAACACGGGATGAAAAATATTGTAATTTTGGGGTGGAAAATTTTTTTTATGGGGTGGGGTTTTTTTTTTAAAAAAAATGGCCGGTCGGACAATATTATTCCAGATTCTCGGAGCAGTTTATTCTTTGGTCTTACTCTTTCCCTTCAGGATTCTAAGTTAGAGAATGCTGGGGACGTTAGATCTCCAGAACTCACTTGGGAAAGGACCTAATTTTATAATTTTATTTAGAAAATTTGAATCTCTTTATTTTCGCTAAAGGCGCTCTTATCACCTTCATGTCGTATTTCCCACTGGGAAATATCTTAAATGCTATTCGTCCGTTGCGTCTTTTAGTACGCTATTTGGTAACTCTCCCCAAGGACGGTTTTGTACTGTATATATACGTTTTAAATTGTGTTTGTGTTATATCCGAGCGAAGATTAAATCACGAGTAACTTCTGAAACATATCAATTGACTAATGTTTTCTATACATTCTTATGGTATAAGTACTCAATAATCAGATTCTGTATATTTATATTCCTCTTATTATAAGCTTTATGTTGACCTATAATTTATTATTGTACGATTTACTGTTCTTAAGTTATGTTCAGTCAATTGACTACTGCTTCCCACGTTCACAGCCACTTTTTGGCTTTATTGTGTATAAATGTTATTTCCTATTTTATGGTGCGTTGCAGTCTGTTTGATTGATATATAAACCAAGTGTGTCTGAAATAAATGATTCAATTCGCATATTGGAAGCTGGTATTGGTGTTCTGGACTCAAGTGGACGGGCTAGGCGGACACAGGAACAATAAGGACGCTAGGCTGCTCGTACTGGTCGAACGTCATTGGTTTGGCACAGTGCGAAGATCGTATAAGTCGTATTTTGATTGGTGGATAAGTCACGTGGTAAAAGCCGGACATAAAGTCATAACAGTTTGTTGTTATCGTTCGTTTCTGGTTGTTTGCAGAATATACTTCCCCATTCCAAGCTTGGACTTCTCCTTCTAGTTAGCCGGGTTGGGACGCATCAATAGCTAGCTTACTGGTCTTTGGTCACCGATTCTTGTTTCTCGTTCGCAGATTAAGTGAACTCGTGACAGCTTCAACCCTAACAGCGAAGCTTCGTGATGCGGTTTGACGATTTCCTCAATGTATGCTCCATCAAGTTCTAGCATCTTTATCTAACTTCCTCCTTATCTGGAAGCTGGTTTGTTCTCTCCCACAGTAGGCTGTTACTCATGGTATCCGGCTGTTATAACTTGTCGTTTGAATGCGTATTGTCTTGGCTCTTTTAATAATACTTTTTGCATCTGGTTGTCGCTGATCGTTATGTTGGAAACGCTTATCACTTGTAATCGGAACCAGGGACCTCTGCAATTCTCATGACACGAAAGTAAGAACACAAGACTGGTATAAGTGATGATTTATTAACCCCAAAACATGACGACGACGAATCTAGTAGAAAATACACTCATTTATATATTGATTGTACATCCATTTTGATTAATAATTAGGATGAAATCACATATATGAAAAATACTTAGCGTAATAACAAATCACATACTGAACATAGTTCATGCCAATGGAATACAAGAATATCGCATATTATACAGAATAAAATATCATACAAGACAATAAAACAAATACTACATTGAGTAATCATTACAGTGAATCAAAACGGAAGTAATCTTGAACAAAACTCATAATGAGTAAATCAACCGAAAATTGACTTTTGTTTCCATCATATCACCGGCCAACAGACATTCAGTACCATGTGTACACAATTGTTGATAAATACCTGTAAATTTTGATGACAGTTGTAGTAGTTCTCCACGTTTCAGCTCCGCACAGCAGGATGGTCTTGACGTTCGTATTGAAGATTCTAACTTTGATATTGGTTGACAGACAGTAGTTTTGAGTTCCATATGTTCTTCAATTGTAGGAATACTGCCTTTGCTTGTGAATTCTCGCATTTATATCTGCATCAGATTTTACTTGCTCATCGATGATGCCTCCCAGCTACTTGTAATATTCTATAACTTTCAGAGTTTCTCCATCAAGTATGATTGGGTTGGTGTTCTCGGTGTTGTATTTGAGAATCTTCCTTTTCTCCTTGTGTATGCTGAGGCCTACCGATGCAGAGGCTTCTGCCCCATTGGTTGTCTAAACCTGTATTTGTTGGTGTGTATGGGAGAGAAGAGCAAGGTCATATGCAGAGTCCAACTCGTCTAATTGCATCTAACCTGTCCATTTTATTCCGTGCATCCCCTGAGATATAAGGATCTTCGTAATCCAGTCAACTTCCAAAGGAAAGAGAAAGGCAGAGAGTAAGTAGCATTATCTAACACAAGTCCTCATTTGCCAGGTGTATTGCAAATACACCTGTCGGCTGTCCTCTGTGCACGACTTTGCACTGTAGTTCGTCGTATGAATTCCGGATGATGTAGACGAACTCCTCAAGTACACCATAGTGTCGGAGAAGGCTTCATAAGGTCCTCTTATACACTCTGTCAAGTGCTTTCCCATGATCAAGGAAGTTGTTGTATGGCGACGAGATCCACTCAAGTGACTGTTCCACGATGATGTCTGTGCATGACCGATCCTTACGGAATCCAGTCTCTTGATCTCGAACCTGGAGGTCCATTGAATCTTTCATCCGGTTCAACCACACTCTGTTGAAAACGTTTCCTGTTACCGATAATAGTGTGATACATCTGTAGTTCTCACACTTGCTCACATCTTTGTTTGGTATCTCGATGAGATGTCCATTTTTCTAGTGTGTCGATGGCACTTGTTCTTCCCCCCAAATGTTACGAAATAGAACGTGGAGCATGTTTTTGCAACTACCGATATATCTGACTTCAGTGCTTCAGCTGGTTTATTGTTAGGTCATGCTGCTTTCCCACTCTCGATCTGTCTGGTGGCCATGTTTATATCTTTGTTCGTTCTTAGAGTAAAGTTTGTAGGAATGTCTGTGTGCGTTACTTCGATGTCCGGTGGGTTCAGTGGAGCTGATCTATTCAAGAGTTCTTCAAAGTGTCCTACCTACCTGTTCCTCTGTTCTTGAATATCAGTGGTCGCTCTGGTTTACTATATTTCCCTTCCAGTCCCTTCGTCGTGTCATACAGTTGTCTCATATTTCCTTCTCTTGCAGCTTTTTCCACTGTCGTTGCTAGTTCCTCCACTTATTTATACTTATCATCTCTAATGCTATTCTTTACTTGCTTTTTTGCTTCAGTGTATTCAGCTTGAGCATTAACTTTCTGTGTTCTTGTTGGACTGTTGTTAATTTTTGTCTTCTTGTTCTCCTTTCCTTGAAAATGTATGGGTGACTCATGAATACATTTTATTTAAACTGTATTTTAAGTTCATGTAATTTATGTTTGCAAGCTTGATTTTTACAACTACACTTATATGTATTCTTTTTAATTGTTATGCTTAGTATCGCATTTACAGTGATATTGTAGCAAAAGTCTTTATCAAGATAAATTTATCAGTACAGCTTGAATCAAACTTTGGAATTCTGAATATATTATTGAAATACTAAAACAAGGCAGAAAGGAAACACTAATAGGAAAAATAGGATACAGTTTTTCGACAATCTGTTTTTTATTTCGCTTTATTAAGTAAGGGTGCAAAAAATAAAAAAAACACAACCTTAATGTGGGCGTAGACAGAAACTTCACAAAATCTTTTTTTTGTAATATTCCTAAGTTCCTTTCATAAGAAGGTTAATATGACCAGTTAACTTTCGACTGAATCACAAGTCTCAGTACAAATTTCAGCAACCATTTTTTCAAAAGTGTTCAAGATTTCCAACGTGAATAAATAATAATTATATTATTTATAACTGTTGAGAATGGATCGTAATTTAGATACAGCTATAAAATGAGCTTAGCAATTACAAATAACTCATAAATAATATGACAGCACTAAAACAAATTTTTTGACAAGCTATCTTAATTACCTTGTTTCAAATGAGCCTTATAAAATCCATCTTCATAATTTAATATAAAATATTCAATTTTCTTAAGGTTTAACATTCCAGAACATTCTTGATCTAATGTGTGGAATATTTTGTTCAGTAGTTGATGTTTTTTCATTATTAAAGTCTTCTGGAAATGCTAAAATTTAAAATGGAATAGAAAGGTTTATTATATTTGTGATAATCAGTGTTTGGTTTAATCCAGTAACTTCAAACACGTAATGAAAACGTTTAATAGGTTTGATGAAATGCTTTAAATTCTGAGTGAAACAAAATATTTCTTAATCGTTTATGGAATTTTAGACAATGAACTTATACGACTACCGGAATCCCAATTCAAGAAATGTTTTATTTGAACCTTAATATATATTTATGAGAAAAGTAGACAAGTTTTTTCTTACTTCTTTTTAATTATCAGGATTCACAAGTTATTTCGTACGGTATATTCAGTGAACTGGCTTATTGTTAGAAAAGCAACAATCCATATTTTCTACCGAAATTCAAGGTTGTTCGGTTTTTAAATTATGTTGTTGAACTAGATTAATGCTACGAGGAAATAATGAAAGTCTGTTTATTCTATTTTTATGGTAATTCATTTATGTATACTCAAAACAGAATTGAACTCATAATACTCACCATTCACAAAACAGCCAGACAAATTTAGGCTACCGAGTTAAAACTTCATTTTCTCTGTTACATAAACACATATCTCCATAGCGTTACCGGTGTATTGTTGTCTTACTCTCAACCTGATGGGCTATACTTATGATAGTTTCCATCAAGCACTTGTAAGGGTTCACGAGAAATTTCACGAATATTGAAACATTTGGTGAATTCATCCAATCATTCCACCAAATCTCCCGTACAATTCCTGGATAAGATTAAGGACATCCAAATAAACAAAGACTAACTGATGTTATCCTTCGATGTAACAGCCTTGTTCACGAATATCTTAGTTGCTGTATTATAATTAAGTGGTTGAGGAGAGAAATTTATATATTTTGAGTGTTATTTATCAGATGGAGACCTATTGTGTTTTTTTTAAATCATATCAAATTCTTGCCTATCATGCACCCATCATGTAATTTAAAATTGAGCACTACCTGTACAATCTGTTTTTAATTAAAAGAGATGCCTAGTTAGATGAAAATCCATAGTGTGAAACTAAAAGTTGTTGAGAGATATTAGATTATTTAATTTTCTGTTATCAGGCAACAGTGACACTAATATTATTCCAAGGAATTTATCCAAGCTCTTAAAAATATGTAAACGATACGAATAGTTCATTAGATTCAGGAATTGAATAATGGTATTGTTGTATCCTCATGTCCGACTAGATATCACGTAATTTATTCGCCAATCGAAATACAACTTATTCACTCTTGTTGTATTTCGAAATCCAGAACACTAATAACAACTTCCGCTATGCGAATCCTTTATTTCAGACATACTTGGTTTATATATCAATCAAACAGACTGCAACGCACCATAAAATAGGAAATAATATTTATACAAGATCAGGCCAAAAAGTGGTCGTGAACGTGAGAGACTGTAATCACTAAACTAAACATAACTTAAGAATAGTAAATCGTATAATAGTAATAATCTCTAGTTCAAAATGGAACTTATAATAAGAGAAATATAGATATTCATAGTCTAGCTACTGAACAGTTATACCATAAGAATATATAGATAATATTAGTCCATTAATAGGTCTCAGAAGTTACTCGTAATTTAATCTTCACTAGGATATAACCGGCATCGTATTTCGAATATACCATTTGTTTTTACTTGAATTTACATGTTTGTGCATAAATTAACTAATAATATACAAAAATATCTACCTGAAGTTTTCTTTCCTCACGTTCTTCAGCTGAAGCTTCATATCTTTTCAAATATGTTAAAAAATTATTAAAAATTTTCAAAGGAGCAGTTTCTGGTATTATGAACTCCATAACACTGATAAACTGATTTTGTGTTATGCCAGATGTATCGGCCAGTTGACAAGTCTTTATCAATTGATCTAATAAGCATTATGTAAGAAAATTAATCTAGATGTCGTTTTAAATTATGTAATTTGATCAAGTATCAGTGAAACAATACTAGTGTTGGGGACGATAGATCCCCACACTCATATTTTTAAATTTTATCTTATCAATCAACTTATCGATTAAATGTTTGAATGGCAGTCAGTTGATGAACCTATCGATTAGATGTGCAAATAGGTCAATCGATGAATTATCGATTAAATGTTAAATAGCGGTCAACTAATGAACTCATTGATTAATGTTTAAAAATTTTCCATGACAATATCGATCGTAAATATTTGTATAAATACGCTTGACTGTGTGCTTGACTGGACTTGTTATCTGCTGTTTGTCTGTAGAATACACTTTCTACACCTTGCCCAGACTTCTTGATCAAGTTAGCAGAGTTGGGAACAACGAACCAGAATAGCTATCGAGTCGCTGAATCATTGATCCTTCGTTCGTTCGAGTAAGACGCATCAGTAATAGCATTCAAGCAATAACGAAACATAACAACTAGAAAAGTAAATGATTTTTCTAGTGAACTATTACACTATAAAGCCCTATGTAAATATTAAATAAGATGCAATGACTAATCATTGCTAATTGATTTATCTTAATTTAAACTTGTTAAATATATAAAAGAGCACGTTCTTTATTTGTTATCACCATCTTAAATATTTTAAACATCTATTGACTTCGGATACTCCTTATAACATGCTGACAAGAGGAGTTTATGTCAATGTTTGTGATCACTGTTCCACATTACAAGGTTTTGTATAGTTATCTTAAAATTACATCTATCTCAGATTATCACTTTCTTTCAAATGAAGTTGCTAGCCTTTTGGCCTTTAAGGATTTCAATAAACAATAGTGCATCATGACTCTTAAAAGTCAAACAGTATTTAACTAAGCCAAGATAAAGGAACATCTTATTCCGTTTGATCTAGTGATAAGGCGAAGTAACGAAATTATTTAAATTACTTAGAAACTGAGGTTATTGTTTTCGTTTGTAATCTAATCAGGATACATTTGTGAAAATGTGTTGGAAGACTAGAGATTAGATCTGACATATTCTTAGTTAAAAATATTGCAATCAGTTATCAGTGAAAACTGGTATCAAATGATTTAATAAGACATTAGAAACTAGTTAATCATATGACCTTGCCCAGATAACATAAGACATTAACATACACTTCAGCAATATATCTCTGTCACTTAGGTATGAAACGATTAAGGTAAGTTATTGTAAATTATTTATGCATAAACTTCTCAAATTATGAAAATATTCACAAAATTTCTGTTTATCAGGTGATTAAACCTATGAACTTTAAAACAACTCATCTTTAACCTTCGTGTCTTGGTCCCGTAACAACATATCATGGAAATTTGAGATATCCATACTGTAAACAGTCTGAAATACTGGTGAAATGACGCGGAGCTATAACAACCAGACTAGGAAAGAAGCAGTTAAATGCGTAAATATGTTCGAAAAAATTTAGCGAAATAAATTACAGTGGTGTGAAACTCAATAAATATAATACTATCCAGCATAATTATATTCAACAACTCGCCGAACTAAACTCCAGGATTTCTAAAGAACTAATAACTTCATAATCAAATTGGAAATTTTTTATTAAAGAAGCTTAAAGTTTTTCGATTAAACTCACTTCAAGGACTATTGATATTTACATTTGTTAGTAAGGAGATAAACGCTTGCTTAAACAATACAATAAGGACATTATTAGAGGCAAGGTCATAGCAATTCTACCGTTTTAAAACATAGTTCACTAAGAAAAAGATGCTTCTTTAACCAGAAAGACAGTATTATCAGTATCATGTTATTTTACAATAAGTCTTGAGATTTAGTTAATAAACGACTACGAACAACGGATAACATAGGTTCTAAAACAAAGTAACCAATGGAGTGGGAGCAAGGCTCAATGAAGACGATGTGGTTATCAAGTTAAGACAAGAATTCTGGAGAGAAAACGGGAGAATCTAAACTATAAAACTTGGTATTACATTATTTCTGGGTAGTCTCATAAAGAGCCTACAATAGAATATGTCACTGCAACTACAACCGAGCTCTAAAACTGTATGAAATTCCCATCTCACTCCATCCGTTTTAATATTTAATAACTTCATTCTCCTTCCTCATTCCTTCACCTTCTACCACTTTTAGAAAACCATGGCTTCTACTCTAAGAAAATATTACTTACAAATAGAGCAAGTGATACTAACTATAGCATAAAAAGAAACTGTAGTTCTGATGTACAAGCAGTTATTCAGTAGTGCTTTCACCGCCAGAAGCTGATATAAAACCAGCTTTTCACCTTTTATATAATAATTTTCTGAATCCGGTTAGATAACTCAGTAACTAATAGACACAAAATATATAATTGGTGCTAATTCAGAGAACACTCTTGAATTTCTAGTTATTTAAACCATTAGAAATTATGCATTAGATTGTCATTTCACATAAATTAACGAATACAAAGCCTAAAGCCTTGGCTTCCTGTTGATCACTTTCAGCCATTTAACCTCATCACAAGTTATGAAAAGAATTGCCTAATTATATCTTAATTTAAGAATAAACAGAGAATGAGAAAGTGAAGAAAATCAAGTCTAGTTCGTGATATATAATTTAAGCAGAAAGCATTAGTGACATGTAAAATCATAAAATCTTAATCCATATGAGAATGTGACTAAGTTACGGAAAAATGAATATACATACAATTGTTCTCACAAGTTATATTGCACTAAGTTTGGGGATTTTAACTAATTTAAAGGAATGATGTTACGAGGAATGGAACAGTATAATTTTGAAATAAACTCTATTACTTCAACATTAGATAGATAATGTAAAAATTATCTTCTAGATTAGTTTTGTTTTAAAGTATTAAATGAGTATGTCATAAACGTTAAGAAGCTAGGCAAGACTGTATATACAACGATCAACTTAAAACAGAAATAGAAATATATCTCAGCTTTTCTGAGTTGCATGCAAAGCCATTTGAACACTTCTGTGTACTTAAAGTAGACTACAAAGATACTCTAATTACCTTTAATATTAGACTGAGTGGGAATGATAGTAATTTCGTCCAGCTGCCGAGTACCTAGTTGTAATGAGCTACTATCATCATGTTGGATGTCATTGTCTGAGTTATTTCCATTGTAGATTAGTAGAGAATGTTCTTTGTCCTTTATGTTGTTATCATCATCATCTTTAGATGAAGATGGACGTTCATTTGTGTCCATAGTTGTAACAGGTTCTGTTACAGATAACTTCAAATGATATTCTTTTGTAGACCCTAAAAGTGAAATTGAAGCAATTTGGACTATTAGTTATATAGTGTTAATGGCATTGAAATTATTTTCAAGTCAGTATAATTTACAAATATTTTCTGATTACTTAATACCATAGAAACTAGAGAGATATGACTTTTAACAACCCTCTTGATTTTACTTGACATTTTAATGATGATGTACTATGCCAAATGAAATAGGTTTCCCCTTAAACAAGTCGAAATGAAACATTAGCTCACTGATAGCAATGTTGAATGGATTTCATCATATCAAATACTGGCAATGATTTTAAAAACAAATACGAACCATTGGATTTTAACTTAGTATTCTCGAAGTATTTTCCTCATCCTAAGACCTTTTGCTGTAAATTCGAACTCACATGGAGTTGTAAATTTGTATTAGTGAGTAGTTACTTGGTTGAACGAAACAACTATTTACTCTCTTGATTCTCAATAGGTTTGCAGATAACATAAATCCATAATAAATACTGAATTCAAACTAAAACATTTCTGCAAAACTTCTATAATAATAATTTATAAAGCTTTTGTAATAGCGAGTGAAATATAAATAGAAATAATTGATTGTTTCAGTAGACACTTAACAAAAAAGTACAATTATTCATCTGTCGATTAGTATCGTCGTCTACTTCACACTTTATATTTGCAATTTAGTAATCAAAGAAGGTCATTTTACAATCCAGTTTTTATTTCTCTCGAATCCAATTCTAACAGCTTCCCGGTTCACATAGATTAGCATATTTTCAGATCACTAAAACTAACATATCCTATTAAATGAATTCAAATAAGTTTGCTGGATATCTTTTTCTCACAAACCGATTAATTCAAATGATAACTTACTCTATAATAATAAACATCAACAAGTATGTAATTATAGCTTACAATCTCTTGGATCATGGATCTTGTCTTTGATAATTTGTTGACATGTATCAAAGTAATCTTCACACCGTTGAAAAACTTGTGCACGAGATAATTCATCCAACTTAATATGAATAATAAAACGACAAAACGGATTCTCAGTATTGTAATTCATTTTAAACAAAGCTTATAAGTGTTGTGTAGTGATGCTATCCCAATAAAACAATAAAAATTTATTTAGTCCCTATGGTTTCTTTTTATTTCTTACTCATTAAACTGTTTAATAGGAGGTATGAGAGATTCAAGAGAAAGTTAAGATGATGGCATACATATACAGGAATCGGAAAGAGTCTATTTCTGTGTAAACATACTGATGTTTAAATATGGATGTATTAACGTTAGACTGAAATTTTCTGCTGTTGTCCACAACAGGAATTTTAAGGGGATTTCTCATGAAAACGGATAAATTAATACCAACAGAATAAGCAGTAGGTAGAAAAATGTTTATATCCTTGTTCATTACAAAGTCGTTTGAGACCCATTTAATGAATTGGTGTATGACGTTTCCAACTTATAAGAAGGATTTTTATAGATCTGTCATTTTATCTGGCACTAGGAACTTAGTCATCAGAATATATTATACAAATAAATTGACATTAAAGTCTAAGTTGGTTTCATTTTTCGCATTCCTCAAAACTAGTTGTTCTGCACTATAAAGCCATTTTGTTTGGCAAATTTAATGTAAAATCTATCAATTTGGTATCTAACTCTCCTTTAATTATAACTGATGTACTCACAATTAACATATTACAAATATTTTAATTCATACTGTAACACATATAAAGAACTCAACAACTAATCTATAATTCACTTGATATTGTTTTACTTGAATCTTCCCATTGATGTTTTTGGACTGAAATTGATCAGTCTCTTATTGGCATATGTGCATACTGTGCGTATGCCTCGATATTGCCTTAATTTACAAGCATTATAAGCAAAGATGGATAGTGGCTAGCAGTGGAATCCAGGACGCGCGTTTCGTCCCGTTTGGGACTCGTCAGCTGGATGTACCTGCATCTCAGAGTTGATGTTCACTCTGGGACTCGAACTCAGTACCGTTCGCTTCAAACGCCAACGCGTTATCCACTTAGCTACTGAGTCCTGATAGCCACTTGCTTGTGCAATGGGTTGAAGTTTAATTCACTTGATATTGTTTTACTTGAATCTTCCCATTGATGTTTTTGGACTGAAATCGATCAGTCTCTTATGTCCAGCTGACGAGTCCCAAACAGGACGAGACGCGTCCTGGATTCCACTGCTAGCCACTATCCATGTTAACTAATCTATAGTTATGTTTTTTTTAATATTCCATTACCCTTTCAGTGTATTTTGATACTTTCCTAATAACGTAATGCAGACTTCTCACTAATCGTATGTATTAAAATGTGAAAAACCTAAAGAAACATCAAAATTATGACTAGGTTTTGTAAATAATTTAATCAAACATAATGTATTCATTGTGACATAAAGACATGAAAGAGTTTTTCAGTACTGAATCAAAACTAATCGTAAAATACTGATCGTATTAATTCGTGATAGATAAATAACTTAGGTAGGTTCAGCAGAATTATTACGGCTATTCACAGGAGAAACACTAGTAGATAAACTTAAAACCATTATTATTAACATGGGAAATAATGCATAAAAATGAGAAGAAATGACTTAGAATGAGATTATCAATCGTCGGTTTTTGTGTACATTCATATAAATAGACATTTTTACCTGGTCTAAATCACACGTACGGAAGCAACTTTTCAATAATTTCCGTCGTTCTTCTCTTTTCTCTGCTTTACGAAATTCTACCGTACAAAGTTTTAGATGTTCCGTAAACTGTTCGAAAACATCAGTTGACATCAATCTAGCATATATCATGAGACACTAGAAAGACAGATTATCGAGTAAGAATACGTAAGTACGATACCACATAAACAGAGAACTCAGTTTATAATTCAGTCTATTCTGTTTTAATAAGCGAGATATTTAAGGCAGTGTTACTATCCAAACTGTCAGTTGGACAACTTTAGTCCATAACTTATCAAGCAATGCTCTTACATAAGCTAAAAATCCAAGATGGAATATCAAATCAAATGACCTGGTAAAATGTGAATTAATGTGTATTCATGATAATCACAAGATACTTAAGTCTAACACAAAGATATTAGAGTCAAATGAAGTTCTAGTTATCAGTTCTGTCTCTTTACTAAGCTAAAACACCACACAAATACCCAATAAATCAACTGAGTTATCAGTACCATTACGTCTAACTTTTAGTGTTATTCCCTATGGATTTTATTTGTATCCACCTAATTCACTCCAGCTTGAATGAATACATTTTTTAAGCGTAATAGAGATGCTATTTAGAGTGAATAGATTATTAGCTTTAGCAAATGTTTGTTAAGGTAAGTAATAGACAATAATCTATATCACATTACCTCCAACAGATAATTATATATACTTAGTAATAAGCTTCCATTTCTATTTGGCCTAGTACCCCTCTTGTGGCATAGGTTGCCCACTTGGATTCTCCAACCAACTATATACTGAGCTCCCCTTTACACTATTTATTATTTTCATTCATGCTTCCAGTTCTTGGAACCATTTACGTTTTGGTCTCCTCCCTTTACTTTTGAATTCGGCATTCCGAGTTATGACTTGACTCGTGAGTAAGTTTTACAGTTCCATAAACTGTGTTCCATCCAACACAAAGGTCATTTCCTAGTGTCTTCTTCATCCGGAAACCGATTTGCTTTCTTCCATAGTAGGTTATCGTTGAGAACTCCTGGTCAATGGATTCGGAGTTTTTAACATAGACATCTGTTTATAAACACTTGTACATTTCTGATGGTGGCTGTGGAATTTCTCCAAGTTTTAGATACGTACAACAAAAGAGTTTTAACGTTAATGTTGAAAATTGTAGTTTCCGTCAATAACCCCATATATCATGTTTCCGAACAATGTTAAGATTTAACAACTTTTCTCAGTTCTAATTGTAATTAAATAACACATCTCTGATGGTTCAAATAAATCAGTCTCTGCTTTCTATCTTGATTCTTTTTGCCAGTGAGATGAACAACATATTTTTTTCAAATTCCTACACTAATTCACTAACCATCGTCATGGTTGTATGGTAGAAGTATCAACAGTTCATAAGGTGGAAAACAAAAAAGTGATTTATTTGGTTATACAGTCACATTGTTGTTTCATGACATTTTTGCATGACATAACTTGTTAACATTCAATCGATCGACTTCACTGATAACTATCAAAGTTTGAATCCCAACCTACTTGTTAGTCATAGCCAAAAAAATACACATTTAATTATTTTAATTTGTTAATGGTATTTAAATAGCAATTCACTGTGAAGGAGGATATCCGATAAACTTCACAGCTTCATAAAATCGATATACGATTACTACTAAAAATCTAAGGTAACAAGTAGAATTAATTTTTTAGAAATATATGATATATCAAAGGACACAAATGTAAATAGTTAACCGTTAGTTTTGCCTTATCAAAAGTCCCCACACTGTACCTCCATTCTTGATGTAAAAACCATTTGAAACGGTTCGTAAGGATTCGTTTCTATTTCTTTTCTATTTCTTTTCAATTTTTGAAATTAAAATTTAATATTATTGTACGAAAATTCATTTATGAACAAACTGAGTGAAAATGAAAAACAACTTTAGTTGTATGGTCTAGAAAACAACCAATCATATCTTGTTAAACAATACAAGAACAGCAGCCGCATGATTTTATTAAACTTTATCCTATATTTACTTCACTTAAAGTGTGTAATTTCCGAATTCACTCACCTTAACAAATTGTTCTTTGTCATAAAATGTCTGGTAGTCTTTATTTAGTTGAGTTTTAAAAGTTTGCACTAAGCATTGTTTCATTTCTTCCGGTAGTATACTAGTTAGTTCCATGAATGTAAGTACCACATCTTCTATCTAAAATAAATAAGATAATTCATCAAACTCGAATAGAATACAAAGATAAACTAGTAGTTATTGTTATTAACAAAACGCAATTTGATGCGTTTATTTATCCATATGACTAATTATGTTAACGATTACTCTATTAAACAAACAGTCACTTATAGACTTTACTTACTTACTTACTTATGCTTGTTACCCCTCATGGAAGAGAACAGACCGCCCACTGGAAGTTAGCTGATAATTCATATCTATGGTTATACAATTGTTATTGCAACTGGTTACCGTCACAAAGGCTGTAATGTATACGATACCTGGGGTGTATTCAACGTATTTTTCATTACAACTAACGTCATATGAGTAAACGCTGAAATCCTTAGATACCTGAACAAATGAGTTGTCTCACTACCCATCATCGTACACAATGTTGAAACCAGTGTAGTTATCAGTCTCGCTTATAATTTGTTGACGATTTAATTAAAGACTAATGCTCACTACCTAACAGATATTTTGTAAGCAAAAAATTGAATTACCATACACAAAACGAGAAAATAACTTTGTTTATCCTGTAAGTATAAATTAGTTATATAATATGAATTAAAACAAAGCTGTTATTTAAATAACATTTATACTCAGTTCATTTCCTCTTTTATCAGCTCTTTCTTCCTTTTCCCCACGGAATAACAAATTTGAATGAAATACGCTATTATTTAACACTGATTACAAATCTATACTAATAAGTAGCTTTTCGACCATTCTTACTATGCATTATTTCGTTATTGTAAGAGTTCAGCAATACGGCATACCTATTTTTCTTATGTTTCAAGTGACTTTTAACGGCACATGTTTTACACATTGGATTTCACGGTTTCTTAAAAATATTGGCTGAGTTTTCGCCATTTAATCTAAAATGAGTAACTCTTTCAGGATTTAAATATGCTACAGTGGTTGTTACTTAAACATTTTTGCATGTTGAAGATACTTGCGATGGCGAAATACTGATTAAAACTTGATCAGAAACGATATACTAATTTAGAGGAATAATATAAACCAAATTAGAGACTAAAAGATTTGGACTGGAGACAAGACTATGTTGCTCTTGTTATCGTCTACAAAACAGATATGGCTGTACAAGACTTATTTACTCTTAACTATTGTTAGTACTGTCAGAGTGGCAAAAAGTTGGTCGCTCCTTGGTAAATGCTAGCAAAAACTAAGAGTGTCAGCTGCATTACTATAAATGCAAATCACCTTGGCACCTGATGACTAAAGAAAAAAATTTTATCGGTAAAATTCTGAACTAGGAATTTCAGTCTGAGAAACGGCCATATTTTTGTTTCAATTATCTTCAGTTTGGCGAAAGAGTTGAGGTGAAACCAATATTTGAATGGTTTCATAATAGTCAACTTCACCACTCTAGCCAAATAACTAATATATCAAGATAGAAAAAGTGATGAAAAGACGATTCAGTATTTAAACCACTTGAATATGGTTAATCAATCCAGTAATAGCTCATTTTTTGATGGCTAAAGCCGATCAGTAGTATATAGCTCAGAATGCTTCAGACTTACTTTCTGACCTAGTACTTACACAAATTAATCAACTAAAAGTTTTAAGTTTGTTGCAGATAAGTATAAGATATTCAACTAAGAATGGCCCAACTATGTTATCATATCGGAACGGAAGTTCGAAAATAGAGAGACATCTCACCATATTTGCATTTGTTGAATTTTCTTTAGGTGGTATCAAACTGTCACAGATCGAGGAAATTATAGCGATTTGTCCGTCATACTCTTTCTTGAATTTCAATTCTTTTTGTTTCTCCTCTGTTCGTCTGGCATCAGCACTTAGCTTCACTTTAGCCAGCTGGTTTCCTGACTGTATAAACATTTCTTGTTGCAACATGGTCAGTGTATATCTTAACCCTCTGACATAAGGTAAAGATTCGCTAAAATGATTATGCTTATGGTTATTACGCATTAAGTATTCAGCTAATCGGTTAACAGGATTGAAGTTTCTGTCTAATCCTGCTCGATAACTTGTTTCATCCAGTAGGTCGCGTGTGATCAGATTTCTTCGAGTTGCTTCTTTTAAGATAAATTCCAAACCCAAAACAACTTGAGGCAAAATGTTATCAATTAGATAAGTTCTTGCTTCGATTGTATGTGGTTCTGATATCAGCCATTCCATAGATAATACATCGATTGGTGTCTGTCTAAGTAGATGGAACATTCTGTGTTTTTCCTCTTCACTTGCCTTCAAATCATTTTGAAAGAGCATATAAAAACTCCCTTTTAAAAATTCTTCGTCATCATATTTCGTCATTTCATATGTGTAGTTATCCGTACACTATGTTGCTTAACTAACTGTATGTGTAAATAATGAATCTAAAAACTTTTGAGAAAGATGATAACTGGATTCCGATGTTTGGTCAGCCAAAATTTTGATTGGAAAATGAAAGTGGACCTTTAAAATGTATCTCAAAAAAGAAATATTTGTTAAAATTATTTTTAAATAAAGTGCTGACATAATACATGACTAATAATATGCCATTCAAACATTTTTACATTTTACGTTCTGAAAGGAATGGCTTTGTCTGACAAAAACAAAGCAAAAATAAAATCACAGTAATTGTATGAGCGATATAAATTCACAATCATAGCCTTCTTTAAAAATATTTTCTCAGTAAATTTTCGGAGTCTTTTTAAGTTGATGCAATTATTACGATAAATTTAACAGCTTTTATTTGCAACTTACCTGCATATAACCAGTAAATAGCGTTGAAAATTAAGAATTTCATTGTGAATTGAATAAATCAAATAATTAAACAAAAAACTAGCCATCTTGAGGTGAATAACCAATACATCTACTGCAAAATCAAAGGTTTTATGTTGCATTCAAATCTACCACGACCGTACAAAACAATTCCGTACTACGTACATCAAAATTTGAGTTTTTTGTCTTTTCGAAGCTCCAGACTTATTGGGATTATTAATGTTTTTTATCTCATTTCAAGGTCACAAATCGTTATTATGATACATATTTTTGTTTGTATTTTATTATTTCATTCAAACACATAAACATAGGCACAAGGAGGCAACGGATAGATATGCGCCACACAAATCATTCGACTTGTGTGAGGGCCAGGATACTACCCCGGTGACCAAACAGAAGTAGGTGGCTTTCTTAGGGAGTCACATCCACAGCCTATGGTCCAAAGGTAAAATCCACCTGGCAGTGGAGCAACGTCAGGAGATGCAGTCCCTTGGCTGGCTCGTACGCCATTTGTTTCTTCAGGATCCTGGAGCCCATGTGCACCATCAGTTTGGAATTACGGTTTTCCAACTCCCCTAGATGGACTCTCCGTGTCCACTAACCCGGTTGAAGCACTAGAAATTCGCTTTTCGTCCTCCCAATTTCGTAAACAACAGCTTTGCCGCGAGAGGGCAGTGAGTAGGACTTCCCTGGCAGTGGTTGGATGTACATGGACACGTGAGAGCGTTTAGAGAGAGAGCCGACACTCCTTACTCCCGACCGTACCAGGGCAGTAAAACTACCTATTTTCTTCGCTCAAATATGAGTTGTTTCTAAGTTTACATTATTTTAGGAACAAATTCTACACTGTTATTCCACTTTGCTAGTTCCTTAATATCAAATTAAACGAACTGAGAACTTGTTTTAAGATTTATATCATGGTCACCAAAGAATCCATCAAAGGGCTGGTTTGATTTTACAGATGTGTATCATATTTTTAGAGCTAAGACTTTGTGCGATAAATAAAAGAAATTGTGATATCTTTAAATGCCGGAAAGGATAATCAGTAAATGGCAGCCTAGTAATGTCGTCTCATTGTTTTGTGTTACAATCGAGTGAGGAATTTTTAAGTGAAGAACGTTTGAGTTTCTGGAGACATACATTGCATTGTGACGGTGTAACACTGACTTATGATAGTTCATAAAGATCCCAGCCTAAATTTTGATTCATTTAAGCTATTAATTATGAACTTGCGGTATAAACTGAACTAATACCTGGAGTTTACAGGTATGCTAAGTCATAAAGAAGGAACCATATGGTTGGTTTAGAACTGACAAAACATATTTAAAATTTAAAATTAAAACTAATATCTAAATGAATATTTGCCTTCACTTTACATGTTACTTTTTGATAACAACTTTGTTAATGAATACTCTTATTTATATAACCTCATCAAAAAATACCAAAGCTTCTTTCTTTTGTGCTGAACACACTATCAATGAATCAGCTGAGCATATACAATACGGCTTTACCTGTTGTTTTAAAAGAGTGTGAATCTAAACCGTTTAAAGAAAAATGCTGGAACTCCGGAAGGTTAAACCTCCAAATATTTCTGAAATATTTTAGAATCCCGACTGAATTTACGTTTACTACGATCTCTTAATCTCTTCATAGGTTGTATGAAACTTATATCCACGTTTCCAAACTGTTCATGACCGAGTTACCAAATAAGCGGGACCAAACATGTTTCGAGACGTTACTGAGATAAATGCACTTTAGATCCGCGATTAAATACCGGTTCCTGTTTGTGTATTAGTTTCTGATAAACATTTATACTGAAATAATTATTCAGTGTCCATATTATTTTCAGCTGGCTTCGCAAGGGTTAACGGACAAAACTGTAAGTTTTTTATTCAGAATACAATATTGTTATGCTGTTGGTACGCCATCAACCTTTTACATGACATTCGGAACCCGTAGGTTGGATTATTGCCACAACAGTTGTCTATTTACCAAAGACATACTTCTTTTCTTTTTGTAGAACATTGTGAATGAAAAATTCAACGTCTACCTAACGTATTCCTCAGAAAAAAAAGATCAGTTATAAGGAATTGAAACGCGTTATCTATTACTGGATGATTTGTACTTTATTCAACTTTAATGAACTTTAAAATGTGTGACGAATCATCCTTTTAATTACGGTGATAGATTGGTTCTCGTTCTAATTTTAGTTTAGATGCGTTGGCAATGCGTTTACTGTGAGAGATTGACATGAAAAGATGGAATGCATGAGCAAAAGCTTTTGTGCATTGATTATTAGATCTCCAGGATTTTCCATGATATCTACCGAAAATTGTGTAGAGGTATTGCGTTACAACGTTACATCTTGAGAATTTCCCCAAAATTGCCGGAGATTTTGGGGTCTTATCATAAAATGCATAAGCATTTCCCAAAAGTGTAATAAGATTCTGGGTGGATATCAGAGAAATCCACAAAGTTTCGGGGAAACATTGTGGAGAAACGCGAAATTTCGGAAAATTTCCCAGAATTACGAGACATTTTAAGGTTTCATCAATAAACATAGACGGTTTTCACTTAAGTGTAATAAGGTTCTGGGGAAAATTTGGGGAAATGGCACCAAAACCCCAACAATTTCTATGGCGGCTCCCCCAAAACTGGGAGATATCTCCGAATATTGGGTTCTCCTCTTTATGATTTATAGTAACATTTCAGTTGTCCCAACCTGGTGGAACACATTTTCCGGTGGGAAAGTAAACGATCTAACAGTTATTTTAATTAGCAAGGTCATCATTTTTATGTGAAAATTATTAATATTATGTGTGGAAGCTTACATAGTGCGGTATTATCTGTTGCCGTCGTAACCAAAGTTAAACTGCATCAATAAGTCTGTTCAATAAACTTTATCGATAAGTGGCTAAAGTAGAATACTAAAATTTCCTATGGATTACGATGAGACTTACTAAGAACATATTTTGTTATGCAAGTTCATTCTAACAGAATGGAGTCATGCATAGCTCGTCCACCTCTCACAAATTATGGATTTTCCTCGTCCATGATAAGTCACCTAAAAATCTCATGTTGTGTTTTGGAGGATGATCATATCTTCTATGCAACAGTTGTACTTTATCCACTACCTGCAATATCACTGTCCCTAAATAATTTATTTATTCAAGCTATCTGAGGAGTTCACAAAATCAATTTCTTCTGTATTTGATTAAAACGACAAATGTTTGCACATTATTCCACGCTCGGTTCGAATTACAGAATGTAATGCCTTCAAGTGCACTTATTGGCTTCTCCCTGAATGATATATTGGTTCATTCACGATTAATGGGGGACGAATTGCATAGTCCTGTGAACTGTCATTTAGTAAATTAAATTCTACTACTTTAGTTTGTGGTGACCTACTTTTATAGAGAGAATGCGATTGGTATAATGGAAACAATTATTATTATAGTCAACTGTACCAGTGATTGTTTTACTGTACTTGTTTGTTTATGTGTACCAAATACATACCTTCTTCCATTGACTGTGACCGTGCGTGAGCTTGCGTACGCTCAGTAGTTCCACTTGTGAACTTTGGCACGATCTCGGTATTCTTTCGATACCACAAAATTGCCAACAAATAAATCTTATTACAACCATCAACTGCCTTCTGGTTTTGGCCTGCGAAAGGATTCAATCAAATATCTGGCACACAATCTTCCTGTAGTGGTGTTCATAGTCAATCGCGACTCGATGCCCACTACAAGCTTATCACTGTCCCTCTCAGATACTACTATTGAGTAGATTTAACAATCTTATACAACTTGTCTAAAATTATAGCCCAACGTACCCGCTGAAAAGTTCCGTGAATGAGCCTCCAGACTGAAATACTTTTTCAACAGCATAAGGTTCCAAATAAATAATCTTGTATTGTCTTGAATGAAGCGACCATACTTTCCTATCTGTAAGTATCTCGATAACTAAATCACAAGTCGAATTTGTCTTCTGTTGAAACCTACGTGGAGCCGATAAGCTGCTTAATTAACAATAAGCTTTTTTGTGGATTTATGAAATAAAGCTAATAATAATAATACATGCATGCATACCACGCTGAATATTCTGGACCAGTTCTCCTTAATAGTATATACCTCTTAGACTTCTAGACAAGAAGTTCCAATACAATCACGCTCTGAAACACCTTTGTACACTGACTGCCATACCATCCATTCTAAAATTAAACTAACCATTGCCGGACTTCAGTTTTTTAAAATCAAATCATTCCCTTGCTCTGTAGGATAGAGGCCACGGAAACAGATATAAACTAACCCCTCGACAGCAATCTGACTGATAATTCTATGCGTTATGATGTAATTGGTTTTCTCCCACATAAATCATGTACTTACTCTCTAAAACAGCTAGACCCTTCAACTTGAACCCAACTATCACGAGTATATGTAAATCTGAGTTTTCTCTAGGGCAGCCGACGGAATTGGCTATTCATTCTTGTACCTAAAAATCAATTTAACCGACAATAGAGGGTGTCTGGTTAAGTGGCTTTTAAACTATCTATGGGATTGATTGTAAGCCGTCAGAGTTTGCTCTACATTTATAAACTGATTTCTGAGGAAAATCGGAGTGCCGCAAAGATAATTTTTAGACGTGTATTCTTCCAACTGAAGACTGACACTTAGCTGACACTCCTTCTGATAATTCGAGGACTTTAATAAATACTAATTTACACACTTAGGCCTGCTGCCCCTCGTGGAGGAGCAAAGGACACTGACCGAAATCCTCCAACCAACTCTGTCCAGAGCTCACCACTCTAGTTGACTTCAGCTGGAAGCTGGTTTTCTTCCTGTCATAGAAGGTTTGCCCTTCTAGTATCCGCCCAACGGACATTGCGTATCTTAAATAGACAGCTGTTAAGAAATATTTGTACACTTTGACGAGGGTTTTAGTAGCCCTCCAAGTTTTCTCTCCATACAATAGAACTCTACTGACGTTCGTATTAAAGATTTTGACTTTGATATTGGTTGACAGTTGTCTTGAGTTCCATATATTCTCCAATTATATGAATACGGCCCTTGCGTTGCGAATCTTTACCTTTACATCTGCATCATATACTCCTTGTTCATCAATGAGTCTGACCAGGTACGTGAAAGATTTCGAGCCTTCCTAAGTTTCCCATTTAGCTGTGATTGGGTTAGTATTCTCCGTGTTTTATTTGAGGATCTTGGTTTATCCCTTGTTTATTTCGAGGCCTACTGTGTTTCGGTGGCTATTGTTCTTCCCCCCAGATGTTACTGAATAGAACGTGGAGCATGTTTTTGCACTTATCTATATATCTGACTTCAGTGCTCCAGCTGGTTTATTGTTAGGTCATGCTGCTTTCCCACTCTCGATCTGTCTGGTGGTCATGTTTATATCTTTGTTCGTTGGTAGAGTAAAATTTATAGGAATGTCTGTGTGCGTTACTTCGAAGTCCAGTGGGTTCAGTGGAGCTGGTCTATTCAAGAGTTCTTCAAAGTGTCCTACCCATCTGTTCCTCTGTCCTTAAATATCAGCGATTGGCTTGGCTCTTCTGTCCTTGAGTGGTCGCTTCCGTTAACTGTATTTAATGATAATATATATGTTCTCAGATAACAATACGTTATATGAGGCATGCCAATTTACAGACAACATGTTCATCAAAATGCTATATGACTTACTTTGTTATGTTACTCAATTATTTTGATACATTATAGAGCACATGGGCATTATAAACAGAAGATAATTTTTCATACAACAACCCCTCACTTGTTTTGATAACTGAAAGTTGGCTGTCCTCCGATACCACAGACACATTTCTACAAATAGACACCTATGAGCTCTTCCGCTGTGATCGAGTCACCAAGAAGGGAGGTGGTTGTCTTGTTTATGTATAAAAAAATTTGGGAGCGGAAATTTATAGCAACTACGTCCTCCGAAAACTTCCTGATTTGATATGGCTTGCTGTGCACGCTCATGAATGTAAAATACTAATTGGACGCGTATATCGAGCTCCCAGCACTACTACTTCAACAGGCCCTATTATGAGTGAGTCATTTGCTCAGTCTCCCTCGCTTGATTTCAATCACAAAATTGTGTGTGGTGATTTCAACCTTCCTACCATCAACTGGACGACACATTCTGGCCCATTGTGCTAGGAAAGCATACTTAGGTCCTTAGATATACACGGCTGGCAACAACATGTACACCTGCCTACACGAAATCACAACATTCTTGACTTGATATTTTGTCACAATATTACACCATCAATGGTAATTGGCGAAAAGTTTCACAACAGCGATCATAAAATAGTCCTCTGCACCCTTCCGATTATTGCCATGTGTAACAAATTAAAGACATTAAATATGCGTTTCCAATATTGAGACTATGCAAACGCTGACGTGGAAATTTTGCGGTTTCTAATAAAGCATTCGGACTGGAGCAGTTTCTTTACCAGTGATAACCTGTTAGAAACATTAGAAATATTCGATACCACCACCAAATATGCACTAGACACTACTATACCCTCTAAAATTGCTTTTAAAACGGTTACCCCCTATATAAACCAAGAAACTACGTGTAAACTGTGAAAACTGAAAAGGACGTACTATATATCAAAAGACTTCAGTGCCCTGCACCAGATATGCTCTGTACTTGACGGAGTACAAAGTCAACACAACAAGCATAAACAGGTAGAGGAACGTACTGCGCTCGCTGCTGCATCTAAAGCCCAAGCCCTATGTAGTCTCCTCACGAAACGCATAAGAAAGAACGCAGATCACAACATTCACTCCTTGCTGCACGATGGAGTGACGTATAATGACCGAACCGTCATATGTAAACTATAACGTGAATGGTTTTCTCACAATGGGAATACATCTCATGTTCCAGATATCAACATAAATTGCATCAGCAAAAATTATCTTAGCACCATAAACTTTGACATTAGGAGTGTACACACCGCCATCAAAACCCCTAAGCCGAATGCGAGTTCTGGTGCCGATGACATCCATTCAATCGTTTATAAAATGTCAGGACCAGACATACAGACGCTATTACTCAAAATATACACATTATCTTTAGAGACAGGTACATATCCGGAAACCTGTAAGGTAACGTATGTTCTTCCCAAACAATCCAACATGAACTCAACATGGTAGACGACTGGTGCAAACGCTGGAGGTTAGAGCTCAACACAGAGAAATGCGGCTGGTTATGTATAGGAGACACGTCTCTTAAAATAAAACTAACACTTAGCAACCACACACTGCCCAGACTGGCATCAGTAACTGACCTAGGGGTACATTACTCACACAGTCTTAATTTATCTGAACACATCTCAGCCAAAGCATCCAAAATGCGGAAATTGATTGGCTTCATTCTCCGTAATTTCTATCAAAATAAATCTAAAATCCTTCTTTACAAAGTTTGTGTAAGACCTATCGTTGAATACTGCTCGTTCTTATTTTCCAACCTACGCCTATCTGATATACTAAAGGTGGAAGGAATACAACGAGACTTTACCCGCAAAGTACTTAAGACTGACTCGGTCATTGACCACAGTTCCTGATGCCAAATCTTAGGAATCTAACCCTTTTGGAAACGGAGGCTTGGGTCTAATTTGATTCTCTACTTCAAGATGCACAAAAACCTTACATATTCAACATGTAATATAGTTCTTGCCCGAGATTCACATGAATACGAACTTTGAAACAAAGTATCTACGGTCAAAGTTGAGAAATACAGATCAAAAACTCGGGAAAACTTCTTCCTCATCAAGTATACAATAATATGGAACAGTCTTCCCTCCGAAACTCGCATGGCAGATGAATTACATATGTTTGTAAAACT